GTGCCTCTGGCTTTACATTAAACTGCATTCCTGGCTTTACATTAAACTGCATTCATGGCTTTACATTAACCTGCATTCCTAGCTTTACATTAAACTGCATTCCTGGCTTTAGATTCAACTGCATTCCTGACTTTACATTATATGTACTGCATTCCTGGCTTTTAAGCCAGTAACCTTGTACAAAACACTACAAAATATTTTTGTACTCTACACAATATTGCACTGTAGCTTAGCAATTGCGAAAGTTGAATAAGCCTGTTGAACGTTCCAGCCCATAAAACTGAACTCCATGAAAAACATATCTGAAGCATTAGATGTATGTCTTTATACAATTAGGTAACTCTTCCATCTCATGATAGACAAGAGTATTGAGCCTTCACCACTTCCCACATTTAATATTTTAAACACAAACTGATACAATAATTTAGGAATTACCATTAAAGTTACAAGATATATGAATTTTGAACAGGAAGTAGGCTAAACTTAATAAAAGTAAGAGACCAGCGAGTTAATTGCTCCCTCATCATTGCATATAAAAAAATACCTAGTTTCGGTAGCCTCATGCACCATGTACATTGAAAATACTTCTAAAATTCAGTATTTGCATTTAAAAAACTTACCTGGAGTTACCTCTGTCAAGTTGCCATGGAAATGTGTGGACACAAGTTACCTGTCAAGTTGACTACCTGGGACACGCATCTGTATAAAACAATCTTTAAGAGAAAAAAAATGGTTTAATTTACAACTGGACACAACATATCTGTAATAAAATCCATACGAGACAGGGTATTAAGTTCAATATTCATTGATGTAAAAAAAAAAAAAAAAAAAAAAAAAACGGTGATTGTTGTTGTATCGAAGTGTTACAGATTGTTGGTGATTGTGGTAGTTACTGCAGTGTTGACTGGTGGTTTTTAAGTGCCGGGTTAATTACAGAACGACGTAAATTTTCGAAAAAGAATACCTGGAGTGTTTACCTGGAGAGAGTTCCGGGGGTCAACGCCCCCGCGGCCCGGTCTGTGACCAGGCCTCCTGGTGGATCAGAGCCTGATCAACCAGGCTGTTACTGCTGGCTGCACGCAAACCAACGTACGAGCCACACCAATGTAAATCAATTAAAAAAATTTAAAAGCACATAAAACATTAAGTAAACATATGACAAATAATATATATGAAACATTAGAAGATATTAAACATTAGAAAACATGTAACAGGATATAAAACATGAGAAAACAAATACGTGTATATAAAACATTAGGATATAAACACTGTAAGACATAAAACATTAGAAGCTATAAAACATTAAAATATAAAACAGGTATAAAACATTGCAAGATAAAAAAAAAGAAGTAATAAAATATAAAACATTAGAAAATATAAAACATTAGGAAATATAAATAAATAACATTAGAAATATAAAACATTAGAAAATATATGAAACATTAGAAAATATATATATAAAACATTAGAAAATATAAACATTAGAATGCATAAAACATTGGGTATAAAACATTAAAATATAAAACAGGTATAAAACATTGCGAGATAAAACAAAAAAAGTTATAAAATATGAAACATTAGAAAATATAAAACATTAGGAAATATAAAAAAAAACATTAGAAAATATAAATATAAAACATTAGAAAAAATATAAAACATTAGAAAATATGTAAAACATTAGAATATATAAACATCAGAATGCATAAAACATTGGGTATAAAACATTAAAAACATTGGTGTAAAACATTAAAATATAAAACATTAGATGGTGTAAAACATTAAAATATAAAACAGAAGGTATAAAGCAAACATTAGAAGATATAAAACATCAGGTATAAAACATCAGAAGGTATTAAACATTAGAAGATATAAAACATTAGAAGATATAAAACATTAGAAGATATAAAACATTAGAAGGTATAAAACATTAGAAGGTATAAAACATTAGAAGGCATAAAACATTAGAAGGCATAAAACATTATAAGGTATAAAACATTATAAGGTATAAAACATTAGAAGGTATAAAACATCAGAAGGCATAAAACATCAGAAGGTATAAAACATCAGAAGGCATAAAACATTAGAAGGCATAAAACATTAGAAGGTATAAAACATTAGAAGGCATAAAACATTAGAAGATATAAAACATCACGTATAAAACATCAGAAGGCATAAAACATTAGAAGGTATAAACATTAGAAGGCATAAAACATTAGAAGATATAAAACATCACGTATAAAACATCAGAAGGCATAAAACATTAGAAGGTATAAAACATCAGAAGGCATAAAACATTAGAAGATATAAAACATCACGTATAAAACATCAGAAGGCATAAAACATTAGAAGGTATAAAACATTAGAAGGCATAAAACATTAGAAGATATAAAACATCACGTATAAAACATCAGAAGGCATAAAATATTAGAAGGTATAAAACATTAGAAGGCATAAAACATTAGAAGATATAAAACATCACTTATAAAACATCAGAAGGCATAAAACATTAGAAGGTATAAAACATCAGAAGGCATAAAACATTAGAAGATATAAAACATCACGTATAAAACATCAGAAGGCATAAAACATTAGAAGGTATAAAACATTAGAAGGCATAAAACATTAGAAGATATAAAACATCACGTATAAAACATCAGAAGGCATAAAACATTAGAAGGTATAAAACATCAGAAGGCATAAAACATTAGAAGGTATAAAACATCAGAAGGCATAAAACATTAGAAGATATAAAAACATCAGAAGGTATAAAACATTAAAAGGGCATAAAACATTAGAAGGTATAAAACATTAGAAGGCATAAAACATTAGAAGATATAAAACATCACGTATAAAACATCAGAAGGCATAAAACATTAGAAGGTATAAAACATTAGAAGATATAAAACATCACGTATAAAACATCAGAAGGCATAAAACATTAGAAGGTATAAAACATCAGAAGGCATAAAACATTAGAAGGTATAAAACATCAGAAGGCATAAAACATTAGAAGATATAAAACATCAGAAGGTATAAAACATTAGAAGATATAAAACATCAGAAGGCATAAAACATTAGAAGATATAAAACATTAGAAGGCATAAAACATTAGAAGGTATAAAACATTAGAAGGTATAAAACATTAGAAGGTATAAAAAAAATTAGAAGGCATAAAACATTAGAAGGTATAAAACATTAGAAGGCATAAAACATTAGAAGGTATAAAACATCAGAAGGCATAAAACATTAGAAGGTATAAAACATCAGAAGGCATAAAACATTAGAAGATATAAAACATCAGAAGGTATAAAACATTAGAAGGCATAAAACATTAGAAGGTATAAAACATTAGAAGGCATAAAACATTAGAAGATATAAAACATCACGTATAAAACATCAGAAGGCATAAAACATTAGAAGGTATAAAACATTAGAAGGCATAAAACATTAGAAGATATAAAACATCACGTATAAAACATCAGAAGGCATAAAACATTAGAAGGTATAAAACATCAGAAGGCATAAAACATTAGAAGGTATAAAACATCAGAAGGCATAAAACATTAGAAGATATAAAACATCAGAAGGTATAAAACATTAGAAGATATAAAACATCAGAAGGCATAAAACATTAGAAGATATAAAACATTAGAAGGCATAAAACATTAGAAGGTATAAAACATTAGAAGGTATAAAACATTAGAAGGTATAAAACATTAGAAGGTATAAAACATCAGAAGGCATAAAACATTAGAAGGTATAAAACATTAGAAGGCATAAAACATTAGAAGATATAAAACATCACGTATAAAACATCAGAAGGCATAAAACATTAGAAGGCATAAAACATTAGAAGGTATAAAACATTAGAAGGTATAAAACATTAGAAGGCATAAAACATTAGAAGGTATAAAACATTAGAAGGTATAAAACATTAGAAGGTATAAAACATTAGAAGGCATAAAACATTAGAAGGTATAAAACATTAGAAGATATAAAACATTAGAAGGCATAAAACATTAGAAGGTATAAAACATTAGAAGGTATAAAACATTAGAAGGTATAAAACATTAGAAGGTATAAAACATTAGAAGGTATAAAACATTAGAAGGTATAAAACATTAGAAGGTATAAAACATTAGAAGGTATAAAACATTAGAAGGCATAAAACATTAGAAGGCATAAAACATTAGAAGGTATAAAACATTAGAAGGTATAAAACATTAGAAGGTATAAAAACATTAGAAGGTATAAAAACATTAGAAGGTATAAAACATCAGAAGGCATAAAACATTAGAAGGTATAAAACATCAGAAGGCATAAAACATTAGAAGATATAAAACATCAGAAGGCATAAAACATTAGAAGATATAAAACATCAGAAGGCATAAAACATTAGAAGATATAAAACATTAGAAGGCATAAAACATTAGAAGATATAAAACATTAGAAGATATAAAACATCAGAAGGCATAAAACATTAGAAGATATAAAACATTAGAAGGCATAAAACATTAGAAGGTATAAAACATTAGAAGGTATAAAACATTAGAAGGTATAAAACATTAGAAGGTATAAAACATTAGAAGGCATAAAACATTAGAAGGTATAAAACATTAGAAGGTATAAAACATTAGAAGGTATAAAACATTAGAAGGTATAAAACATTAGAAGGTATAAAACATCAGAAGGCATAAAACATTAGAAGGTATAAAACATCAGAAGGCATAAAACATTAGAAGATATAAAACATCAGAAGGCATAAAACATTAGAAGATATAAAACATTAGAAGGCATAAAACATTAGAAGATATAAAACATCAGAAGGCATAAAACATTAGAAGATATAAAACATTAGAAGGCATAAAACATTAGAAGGTATAAAACATTAGAAGGTATAAAACATTAGAAGGTATAAAACATTAGAAGGTATAAAACATTAGAAGGTATAAAACATTAGAAGGTATAAAACATTAGAAGGTATAAAACATTAGAAGGTATAAAACATTAGAAGGTATAAAACATTAGAAGGTATAAAACATTAGAAGGTATAAAACACTGGGCAGTATAAAAGTTTAAAACAATATGGTTGGCAGTTTAAATGCAAGAGGCAGTTTCATACATTAAGCAGGACAGTACTACCTAGGGTGACAGTAGCCTCAGGCTGATAGTGCCCCAGTGCTACCCAGGCTGATAGTGCCCCAGTGCTACCCAACCTGATAGTGCCCCAGTGCTACCCAGGCTGATAGTGCCCCAGTGCTACCCAACCTGATAGTGCCCCAGTGCTACCCAGGCTGATAGTGCCCCAGTGCTACCCAGGCTGATAGTGCCCCAGTGCTACCCAACCTGATAGTGCCCCAGTGCTACCCAGGCTGATAGTGCCCCAGTGCTACCCAGGCTGATAGTGCCCCAGTGCTACCCAACCTGATAGTGCCCCAGTGCTACCCAGGCTGATAGTGCCCCAGTGCTACCCAGGCTGATAGTGCCCCAGTGCTACCCAGGCTGACAATAGCCCAAGCACTACCCAGGCTGATAGCCCAAGTGCTACCTAGGCTGACAGCAGCCCCCAGGTATAAACAGCCCAGGTGTGAGCACCTAGGTATGAACTGCACCTAGGTGTGAGCAGCACCCAGGTATCAACAGCCCAGGTATGAGCAGCACCCAGGTGTAGCACCTGGGTATGAGCAGCACCCAGGTATAAACAGCCCAGGTATGAGCAGCACCCAGGTGTAGCATGCTGGTATGAGCAGCACCCAGGTGTAGCATGCTGGTATGAGCAGCACCCAGGTGTAGCATGCTGGTATGAGCAGCACCCAGGTGTAGCATGCTGGTATGAGCAGCACCAAGGTGTAGCATGCTGGTATGAACAGCACCCAGGTGTAGCATGCTGGTATGAGCAGCACCCAGGTGTAGCATGCTGGTATGAGCAGCACCCAGGTGTAGCATGCTGGTATGAACAGCACCCAGGTGTAGCATGCTGGTATGAGCAGCACCCAGGTATGAGCAACACTCACACCTCTTATTAAACAAACATGTTCCCTAAATATAAATCTTATAAACACCAGTTTAATATAAAATAAATATTACAGAAGGTAAAGTACACAACAAGGAATACACGAAGAAATATTAACTTACTTCATGTTAGTTGTCCTGGTTTAACTAACTACTTGCCCAATATAAGTGTTATGAGGTTACTGCTGAAATCATCCAAGGGTTGAGAAGTTCAAATATCTTGCTGGGGTTGAGAAGTTCAAACATCTTGCTGGGGTTGAGAAGTTCAAACCTCTTGCTGGGGTTGAGAAGTTCAAACATCTTGCTGGGTTGAGAAGTTCAAACATCTTGCTGGGGTTGAAAAGTTCAAATATCTTGCTGGGGTTGAGAAGTTCAAACCTCTTTCTGGGGTTGAGAAGTTCAAACATCTTGCTGGGTTGAGAAGTTCAAACATCTTGCTGGGGTTGAGAAGTTCAAACATCTTGCTGGGGTTGTGAAGTTCAGATTTCTGGAATGATAAAATGCCCATTTCACTTGACTAATATGAAGCCTACCAAAAGGTAAATATTGGAAATACATAAGTAGCACAGATTGTCAATGACACCAATGAGAATATCACAGGAAAGTGCTAAACCCATGAGGCTCACACAGCACCTGGGAAATGAGAGGCAAGCTGGTTTGAGCTAAGGGCAGTTAGCTATAATTATCTGGATCAAGAGCCTCACACTAGAGAATTATTACAATGGGGGAGAGCTAAACCCATAAGATTATACAGCATGTGTGGGGGGGGGATGGAAGGTATTCAGAGTCAATTCAGGGAAATGGAGCACAGATCCAATTCCCTAGATCAAGAGCCCCTTACTAGCATCAAGGGGTGACACTAGAGGTGTGATGTTCCACCACAATAAACTAAAATGGTCAATAGTCCATCAATATTCCTAACACTCTCACCATGACTTAATTCACCATCACTGCTATGGAGTGAAAGATAATCAGTGTTTCTTCTTTTCCAGGTCACTGTCTCAGTGGGAAACGGCTAATGCGTTAAAAAAAATGTAGTAAATAAAAAGAAAAAAAAAAAAAAAAAAAAAAAAAAAATTAGGGAATTTTAAATACAAAATATTGTATGAATTTTGAGAAAGGAGCAGCATTTTTTTAATGGATTTTTTAATAGCCTAATTAAAACCAAATAAAGGGACACCTCTTGAAATAATTTTAACAAGGAAAAAAAAGTTGCTTCAGACAATATATTTTGGATATTAAAATGCACTGTGGAAATAAGCTAATTACTCTAGTTAATTTATCAAGTTTAAAGTCTATCTACTACACAAGGGTTTAATTAAGTTTGCATGTAACCTGTTGACTATCTGTCAAGAATACTTGACAACCAGTATGGAGATTGAAATTCAACATTTATATATAACCCTCTTATTTATAAAGTCCTTTCTAAAAGTTTCCTTATACATTTAAAGGTATATTTTTTTAATTTAATGTAAAAATTATGTACCAAAAGAACCTTAGAAAACTTACCTAAACTTATTATAACAAGCACAATTTAATTTAGCAAGTTTACATTAATTTAATAAACAATGAAATATTTTTTTCCATTAGGTTCAGAATGATTTTTGCGAAACTATTGAATATACAAATTTTCGCTTGCCTTATTCGGCAAGAAGAGTAATGTTACTTAAGCCAAAATCGTAAGTTTTACCTATTCGGCACGACATACTTATGCACACATCTCTATGGGGAAGTGCGTAAGCCATGTGTGTCTTAATAAGATGAGGGTAAAATGCCGGGATCAAGGGGTTAGTAACCTCTTCTGTATACATTACTAAATTTAAAAAGAGAACTTTCGTTTTTCATTTTGGGGCACCACCCCGCCTCGGTGGGATATGACCGGTTTGTTGAGAGAATACACACACACACACTGGCCGTCTCCCACCGAGGCAGGATGAACCAAAAAAGAAACTTTCACCATCATTCACAGTATCACTGTCTTCGCAGAGGCACACAGGTAAGACAATTCAGTTGTCACTCCAAACAGCAAATATCTCAAACCTCTTAAATTGTAGGCATTGTATTTTCACCTCTAGGACTCTAAGTCCAGCTAACCTTTTTCCCTGAATACCTCCCCAAAATATTACCCTGCAACTCAGTGTACACACGAAATATAGCATCGGTTTCCATTACTCCACTATAAGGCAGATGACAAATTTTGTACCTATATTAAAACATAATAGATGTGAATATATAACCAGGTAGTCTGAGCTGTCTGACATTTGTAGGTTTAGAGTTTCTTTTTCATTATAACTGATCATAATAAGCAGGTATTATTATTATTATAATCAAAAAGAAGCGCTAAGCCACAAGGGCTATACAGCATAAGCAGGTATTAAACTCCACCAAACACTTCATAAACAAGTACCATATCTGGACCATAATAACTCTGAGGTATCTGTCAAGTTTCACAAAGGGAAAAATTATCCCAATAGTAATAATCAAAATTCATTTCCTAAAAAGAGTTGCATAGGTGCATATCAAGTAGCAAGAATCAGAAATGATGATTCTCCACTAGGTAAGAAGAATAAGTACCCTCCTAAGAGTAGCCCAGTTAATAAGAAACCAGTCAGAGAAAAGAGAGATTGTCTTTTCTGCAATGTATACAATTCATGGAATGATAAAGTTGAAAGATTGGAGGAACTTGACAGATGTATCAGATGTTTAGGTAATCACAATGTAAAGGACTGTTATGCCAAATTAAACTTCTGTTATCAATGTCACAAAGGAAGACACCATATAGTCATGTGTAAAGGTCTATATGATAATGTTGATAATAATGATAATGTTGACAACCTTGACACAACAGTGGCTAATGTAAAAATTGCTGCTGTTAATAATGATGGTTTTGCTGAAGTAGCCTTACCTGTGTTACAGGTAAAAATTGATGATAAAAGGCATAAATAAAAAATTGTAAATGCATTATTGGACCAAGGATCCCAGCGTACTTTCATAAAACGTAAATGTCTTGATGGTATGAAAGTACAGATGGGAGATCCCACAACTTTAAAATTATCAGGTTTTCTCTCAGACAAAAGAGCTCAATTGTATGACACTGTTTATGTAACTGTCAGATTGTGCAATGAGAAAAAACGTGTTAATGCAGTAATTGTAAATAGACTTCCAGAGAAAATATCTACAGTAGGGCTTAGTAAAGCTACAGAAAGACTTTCACATAATGTAAATTTAGCACCTTCTTGTGTAAGTGTTGATTCTGTAGGCCCAATAAATATTTTGATAGGTAGTGACTATTATGCCTCCTTTGTAAAGGGTATGGTAAAGAAATGTGGTGTCACCCTTCTGAAGACTGCAGGGGGCCATGTAATGTATGGTAGGATTCCTCGTAATAATAATTCATGACTAGAGGAAACTACAAATACCATAACTGTGTGTCTTACTCATGAAGTCGTGCCCAGTATAATTCTTCCATAGAGGATGGTGTTGAGCCAGTGCATAAATTGTGGGAATTAGACAGCACTGGAATAAATGTAAATGAAGAAAATCCAGACGATTCTTTTACTCAGGAGCAATACCTGAGAAATGTAAAATTTGAATCTGGACAATACTGGGTACGACTTCCGTGGAGACTGAACCATCCAGAATTGCCCACTAATTACAGAATGGCATATGGACAATTAAAGGCTCAGCTCCGCGAACTGAGTAAGACACCAGAATAGTTAACTGCCTATAATGATATAATTGCTGAGCAGTTAATTAATAAATTTATAGAAGAGGTACCTCCTGAGCAAGCCAAAATTTATGGTCACTATTTGCCACCTCACGGAGTGAAGAAGGATTCTAAGACCACTCCTCTGAGAATTGTGTTTAATTGTAGTGCCAGGAGTAACAAAAATGTACCTAGTTTAAATGACTGATGACAGGTCCGTCGTTGACAGAAAAATTAGGAGATATCTTATTAAATTTCAGAGTGAAGCATTATGCCTTTACGGCTGACATAAGTATAGCTTTACTAAGAGTGGGTTTACAAGAGGCTGACCGGGACTGTACCCGCTTCTTATGGCCTGAGAATCCTAGTGACCCACTTAGCCCTCTGAAAACCTTTTCCTTTAGGAGCATATTATTTGGTGCTACATCCAGTCCATTCCTACTTCAAGCGACGATAAATGCACACCTTAAACGTATGGAAAGTCCATTGAGTAAAGTAATGAGCAAACAATTTTATGTGGACAATTTCCTGGGTGTGACGTCAACTGAAGAGGAACTGTTAATGACTTATGGAGAGGCTAATAAAATAATGCAAAGTGAAAATATGCCTCTGAGGGAATGGAATAGTAATTCGTCCAAATTAAAGGATAAAATAAGTAAAGATTATCCTGGAGATTAAGTGCCAAAATGTAGTAATGTATTGGGATTAACTTGGGATACTGAGAGAGATTTGTTAATGTTAAAACCTAATAATTACAGTATGCCCAATAAATTAACTAAGAGAGTTTAGCTTGCTGAAGTTTCCAAATGTTTTGATCCACTAAGTTTAGTGTCACCCCTTACTATAAGAGGGAAATTATTAATTCAGGAAGCATGGAAACTTAAATGTGCTTGGGATGAAATTCTACCTGAGGAATTCATTAACAGGTGGGATGAATTAATTGGTGATTATGAGAAAATTCCAATGTTGGAGTTCCCACGCCAGGTGGCCAATCCAAATGGGAAAAATGTACTCCACATTTTATGTGATGCTTCAAAATTGGCATATGGAGCAGTTGCTTACCTTCAATGTAATAGTGTTATTTCTCTTGTTATGTCTAAGGCTAAAGTGTCTCCAATTAAATCACGTACCTTACCTCAGTTGGAATTAACAGCCATTTATGTAGGTGTCAAATTAGCTAATTATATAAGAAATAAGTTACAGGAGATAAATATTAGTGACACTGTAATTTGGTCTGATAATGAGGTATCCTTACAATGGATTCGTAATGGAAACAGTAAAATTGTGTACGTACAAAACAGAGTCACTGAAATTAATCAGATGCAAGAGAAGTATAATGGGTCAGCATATGTTAACATTTAATCATATACCTGGTGAGGAGAATCCAGCTGATTTCTTGTCTCGAGGTTTACCTTATGCTAAATTTGTAAATGCTGTATCATGGTTCAAAGGACCGAGTTGGTTGGTAAATAAAGCTAATTGGCCTGTACAAAAGGTGTATAGTGCTCCTGTTGAAATTACTGTGACCACCGCTCCAATAGTTTGTCCTCCCTTAGCCATTGATATAAATAGGTATTCTTCTTTACCCAAACTAATCAATGTAACTAAGTTGGTGTTTAAATTTCTAAACAAGATGAATATTTCATTTAAGTTTTCACATCCTCTTGAATATTGGCTAAAGAAGGTACAGGAGGAAATCTATGGAAATGAGATTAAATTGATGATGGAAGGAAAAATTATGAAAGGTTCCATAATAGAGAAATTGGGGCTGTATTTAGAGAACAATATAATTAGGTGCAGAGGTAGGTTACAAAATGCTGAATTGTGTGATTATGCTAAACACCCTATCTTACTGCCCAAAACTCATCATCTAACAAATTTAATTGTTCTAAATGCCCATAAAAATGTAATGCATGATGGGGTACAAGATACCTTAAATTGTATTAGGGAAACTTTCTGGATTCCACAAGGATGGCAGAGTGTAAAAAGGGTGATTAAATCTTGTGTAATATGTCGCCGTGTGGATGCCAGATCCTATATGTACCCAGGTCCTCCACCATTGTCAAATGAGAAATTTGAGTCGTTTAGCAACGAACTCTGGCCGGCCGCAGTGTGGAAAATACTGTATATATTTTCCGGAAATACGGTAATTTATAGGTAAATAGATGCCCTATATTGTATTTTTAAAAGAAGTATGTTATCGAAAATGGGAAACCTGCGGCTGGGGGAGTCAGTCGCCATTGTTAATTTGAATTGGATACAACGTTAGTGTAATGAGAAGGAATTTTCGTGCTCTAGAGGTTAAAATTGGGCTGACACCTTTCAAATAGGAGGCGAAATTGTTGGATGTGCATTCCTGCATAACTTGAGATATCAGGCGACTGGACAAGACAGCTCCAGGAACCTCAGATAAGTCTGTTATGTTATAACTCTGGCCAGTTGTTATTTTCATGTATAGACAGTGAGGTTTTCTGAGTATGATACAAGTTAATCTCCAGTTAAATTGGCGAGTGATATTAAGATATTTTCCTTCTGTTATGTAAATGTGTGTATATACTATAATCCTTTTTAAATTTTAATATAGTCCACAAATTTATATATTTACCAGCATTCCTGGTGATGTATATTTCATTTAATTAATAGGTCCAGAGCAACTTGTGGATATATGACAGTGGTAGGTATCGAAGGGGGACATTTTTTGCGACCTAGGTGTCCCAAATTCCTACTTGTCTAACTGATAAATAATAATTATCTATGTTCATTTACTGTTATGTATATAATGATACATTCGGATAAATGTAATTTTCCACATCTCCTATTCACTGGTATCACTAGGCCTGGTGGCTAACGCTCTCGCTTCACACGGCGAGGGTCTGGGTTCAATTCCCAGCCAGAGTAGAAACATTGGACGTGTTTCTTTCCACCTGTTGTCTATGTTCCCCATCAGTAAAATGGGTACCTGGATGTTAGTCGACTGGTGTGGGTCGCATCCCGGGACACTGACCTAATTTGCCCGAAATGCAGAGCATAACAAGGGAGTTTCTATATAGTAGTATGTCATTGTTGTCAGCTAGGACTGTATACCTTGTACATGTACTTGTAGTAAATAAAGATATTATTATTATTATTATTATTACTAGCAGGCCAGGAAGATTATTAAAACAGCTGACCTGTGTTGGTAAGTTTCTGGCACCTACCTCTTTAGGCTCATCACTTCAGTTTGAATTACACCTGTTTTAATTGACACTTTAGCATTTATTATCTATATACTAGGGTGCCACTGTAGTATACACTATAACGCTATATATACACAATATCATCAGGGAGACTTTCTTTCCTCTGACAAAGAAAAGTTCTATTATTATTTTTTTGCACACGGCACACTAGGCCTATGATTCCCCTCTGGCAGTAAACTCTGCTAGGTACTGCACACTAATCCTCCTTTTTTGACTCGGTATGTAATATTTTCTGCCCAAGATTGGTTCCAAGCGCTAGAGGGATGTTTCGTATAGGATTGACGGCACAAATTAAAGTTCTAGCACGTAAGAGCGACCGTGAAAACACGGAGCACAACGAAGCACGCTGGACAGGCACTGACTTTTTTGGGTTATCCTAGGTTCTCTACACATATGCTGCTATGTATGATAATTCTATGTAACTGTATTTGTGTATACCTGAATAAACTTACTTATTACTTAATCTACTCCACAAAGGTCATGATTGGGTTTAAAGCCTATCTACTACACAAAGGTCATGATTGGGTTTAAAGCCTATCTACTACACAAAGGTCATGATTGGGTTTAAAGCCTATCTACTACAATAAGGTAGTGATTGATTTACTAGGTTTAAAGCCTATCTACTACAATAAGGTAGTGATTGATTTACTAGGTTTAAAGCCTATCTACTACAATAAGGTAGTGATTGATTTACTAGGTTTAAAGCCTATCTACTACAATAAGGTAGTGATTGATTTACTAGGTTTAAAGCCTATCTACTACTTCACGAAGGTTATGATTTATTGGGTTTACAGCTTATCTACTTCACGAAGGTCATGACTGATTTACTGAGTTGAATTATAATCAAAACAAAGCGCTAAACCCACGAGGGTACTGAGTTAAAGCTTATTTACTACACGGTCATTAAGGATGCATGTAACTTATGCACCACCTGTCAAGAATACTTTTAATACCTAAAGTATTAACCGAAGACCAGTAATATTAAACAGGTTTTTAGCTTTAACTCGTTGCAAAATTACTAAAAAGATCCTGAGGAAATTTTTAAAAATTATAATCATAACTAATCGCTAAACCTGCAAGGGTCATACATTATAACCATAAAGAATCGCTAAACCTACAAGGGTCGTATAGCCATTAGGATCTCAAAGGGTCATCCCCCCCAAAAAAAAATACATACATATTAGGCTTTTGGAAAATGAATAAGTTTAACTTGTATCAACTTATTAAAAAATGACAACTGCAAAAAAATTATACTACCAACTTTAAATCATAGTTTACTAAAATAATTAAAATCAGCAATTAAAAAGTGGCAACTGCAAAAAAATATACAATCACTTAAATCATAGTTCACTATAATAAACAAAAATCTGTAATAAATGGCGACTGAAAAAAATATACTATCAACATTAAATCAGTTTACTAAAATAATAAACATTAAAATCAGAAACTACAAAAAACTTATATACCTTGACATTTAAATCTTAGTTTACTTGGATAATTCAACAGGACAACCATATTCACGTATCCATGGCAACAAAGTCCATATATAAAACGCTGGATAATAAATTAATGCTTCAGCGAATAATTTCAATTAAAATTTCCAGTAGTGACAAATGGTAAGGTCGTAAAAGTGGTAAAGTGACAAATGATAAGGTCGTATAAGTGGTAAAGTGACATATGTGGTAAAGTGGTAGACAAATGGTAAAGGGACAAGTAATAATTGAACACTTATAAGTGTAAGTGACAAACGTTACCACTTACCATAAAGGCTAAGTTACTGAACTCATCGTCTGCTTCAACTGGAATAAAAATAATTTCACAATTACTACTTCAGATATACATATAGTTTATATTACCATGTAAATTCATTAGTTATTATAAATAACCAGTAATTTAGGAGAAATAAAGGAAAACATTTCTTACCAGAGGAGCGCGCACCCTCACCCCCGCACCACCACCAGACTGTGATGTAGGGGTATCTGAGCGCTCTCATTGGCTGATCAACAGTGACGTCACGACTGCTAGGTCTTGGCGCTCGAGCCCGTGACGTCATAGGCTAAATCTAGGCTGTAATTGGCTGCTGCTTCCCGCCAACTTGAGTTTTGATTGAATGTGAAGAGAGCGGTGACATCCTGGTGATGGACTCTTGATCCAAGGATTTGGAGCTACCTTACCCTAATAAAACAAAATAAAATTATATTTATAATGTAGAAATATCCCAGAATAGCTGAAAAAAATATTTTGTATACTGGTGAATATCTCTCAATGTATATACAAAGAATATATACACATTGATAAATATATATATACATACACATTTCAAGTTTACATCAATCCCCATAGCATGTGGGGAATGGAATATATCCCCCATGGCATGTGGGGAATGGAATATATCCCATGGCATGTGGGGAATGGAATATATCCCATGGCATGTGGGGAATGGAATATATCCCATGGCATGTGGGGAATGGAATATATCCCCCATAGCCCCTGGGGAATGGAATATATCCCCCATGGCCCCTGGGGAATGGAATACATACCCCATAGCCCCTGGGGAATGGAATACATACCCCATAGCCCCTGGGGATTGGAATTATCCCCCATAGCCCCTGGGGATTGGAATTATCCCTCATAGCCCCTGGGGATTGGAATTATCCCCCATAGCCCCTGGGGATTGGAATTATCCCCCATAGCCACTGAGGAGTGGAATATATCCCCCATAGCCCCTGGGGAATGGAATATATCCCCCAGAGAGCCTGGGGAATGGAATATATTCATGACTACTGTGAATGGTGGCTCAGATTCCTTGCATCAAGATCCTTCCACCGTGGCCATGGTCCAGAAAATTTAAAATAAACGACCAGTTAAGTGGCAGACAAGTTACAACCGACCATAATCAATCACTTGTAAGGGGTAAAATGACAAATTACAGCCTAACACTTACCACTTTGTGATAGTGACAAAGTTACAACCAACCACTTATAATTGGTAATGACAGAACTTTCCAATTATTAGTGGTACGTGTAAGTAAGTTTATTCAGGTATACACAAATACAGTTACATAGAATTATCATACATAGCATATGTGTAGAGAACCTAGGATAACCCAAAAAAGTTCAGATACATGTACACTTTATATTATTATGTAAAAGCATTGGTGTAAACGACCAGTACCTAAAGTCAGTTCCTGATCAGCCGGGCTGTGGCTCGTACGTTGGTTTGCGTGCAGCCAGCAGCAACAGCCTGGTTGATCAGGCTCTGATCCACCAGGAGGCCTGGTCACAGACCGGGCCGCGGGGGCGTTGACCCCCAGAACTCTCTCCAGGTCCAGGTAATTCAGGAGAAATGATAAAATTCTTGCCAGAGAAGTGCGCACTCTCCCGCGCTTATGACTGAAGCATTTTCGCGGGCTCCCGCACCACCAGTAGTCGCTGTGGTGATTGGCTGATCGACAGTGACGTATGTATGGGCAAGTGACGTCACGAATGCTGATTAGCTGCTGGATCTTGGAGCTCGAGCCCGTGACGTCATAAGTTAAATCGAGACTAATGGGCTCCAGCTAGCGTGGCCGTGACGAACTCTAGCTCAAGTCCCTTCACGTCACGGCCACGCTAGCTGGAGATTCGTCTGTAAAAACTTGCATTTGTGGTCACAGTGGTGCCTGTGCTAACCTTCCTATGGTGTAGAAATATACCTAGTTGGACGAATCTTATTGTGGCTAGCTGGTCTAGTGGCTAACGTGACGGGCTGGAGTTTTGAGACTATGATCGCGGGTTCAATCCCGGCCGGGGTATGGTTTGTTTGCAATCGTGTCATTACGATTTCGTGAGTAATGTTAGGGATTGGATGAGTAGGATTGTGAGGCTAGTGGGAGGGGGGCATACCGGTGTTGAGAGCGCTCGTTTTGGATGTGGGAGGGGTGCCAGAGTACACAATGTGCATTGGCATATTTAATGGTAGATTTCGTGTACGTGTCGTGGGGTATGCGTGGGAATGGGGATTGGGTGGCGAGGAAACGGGTACTGGCAGCTACTTTTTAAAGGACGGTTTGCAGGAACAGGGAAATATATGGATCGCGGTGGGAGGGAGCCTTCCCAGTAGGTTATCGTAGTTTAACTATTGGGATCTTACTCGCTTTATAGGGGGGGGGGGTTGTCATGGCTGGGGCAAGGATTGAGAATGTCATCCGGGGTTTCAATGGTCTCGCCGTCGGGAGTGTGTGTGTGTGTGTGTCTGTCTGTGTGTGTGTCTGTGTGTGTGTGCGTGTGGTGTGGGTGTATGGCTTAGATGCAAACGAGGGAAGGTTCAGTGTGGTTAGTAATTGTTAGTAGGTACGTGTGATGCTAGCTGGATTAAGTGTGTGATCCAGTTTGATAGTGGGGAATTTAGGTTTATATTTTTGCATGCGTGTCCCATGGGATGATGACTGTATTACCCTCTGTGTATATAACTCCTTGCTATGCTTGGTCACTTACCATCACACCTATGTCAGAGGGTTGAGGTATATATTATTGTTTAGAGGTATTGTAAGCATGTATGCAGTAAGAATGCTTGAGTGTGGTTTGTTGTGATTGAGATACTGTTACGATGTGACAGGCTGGGAGACTGAGTGACAGGGAAATGTATACTGCCGAGAGACAGTGGTGGTTGCCTAAGTGAGGGGGAAAAGGGGGGGGGGGGTGTAATAGAATGTTTTGTTCTAGGAGACAGCATTGAACGTTGCCCTATTAAGGGCTCATCTCTGATTGGAGGTTAATGAGATAGGATTATATACACATACGGATTACGGGGTTATTTTTCAAACTGTTCATACTGTGTACCTTGTGTGTGGTGAGAGGAGGCATATATCAACTTATTGTTTAATGTCACTTTGTTTTATGTACAAATTTATATATGTTTGGTTTTGTTTCATTTAAAGTTTATATTAATTTAGGTCACAACCCTGGTACTGTTTTTGTTAAGTCCTATGTTCTTGATGCAAGTTTTTCATGTATGGTTTACAGTTACATATACAGAGTTTATACATGCAAGCTTTGTAGCATTTTTTGTTACGTATGTTCAGGTGTGGGTAGTAAATCGTTTAGTTATAAGGATGGTGTATTTCTTATATATAGCTTCACGTTTAGTGATTTTAGTCCATCATGTATGATTACAAGTATATTAGGTGGCCCGGTGGCTAAAGCTCCCGCTTCACACACGGAGGGCCCGGGTTCGAATCCCGGCGGGTGGAAACATTCCGACACGTTTCCTTACACCTGTTGTCCTGTTCACCTAGCAGCAAATAGGTACCTGGGTGTTAGTCGACTGGTGTGGGTCGCATCCTGGGGGACAAGATTAAGGACCCCAATGGAAATAAGTTAGACAGTCCTCGATGACGCACTGACTTTCTTGGGTTATCCTGGGTGGCTAACCCTCCGGGGTTAAAAATCCGAACGAAATCTTATCTTATACTGTGTGCTCTAAATAAAACATACAAACTTAGAAGAATAGCTACGGAATGTTTAGGTACATAAAATGCTAATATTACAATGTAAAGTAAGAGGCCAAAGCATTAGTTTATATATAAAAACTTTTGTATATAGTTTTCATACAAGATATGAATACAAATGTCAGGTTTGGCTAGTAGCAATTTTATTATGTATGTTCAGGGGTAGGTTGTCATCCGTTAGTTATAAGGATGTTTTCTTATAAATGGTTTCATGTATTGTGATTACGTCAATGTGTGATATGTATGTATACTGTATGCTTTAAATAAAATATAAACAAAAAAAACTGACTTAGGAGCCTCTGAGCGCTCTGACTGGCTCAAAAACGGTGACGAGTAGATGAACAAGTGACGTCACGACTGCTGATTGGCTGCTGGGTCTTGGTGCTCGAGCCCGTGACGTCATAGGTTAAATCTAGGCTGTAATTGGCTTCTGCTTCCCGCCAACTTTGTAATTTGCGTTTTGAGTGGCTGTGGCCAGAGGGGTTACATGCATACCCCTGGCTGGTGATGGGCTCTTGATCCAAAGACTTGGAGCAATCTCCCCCTAATAAAAACAATATTAATGTTGAAATAGCCTAGAATAATCGAGAAAATATTTTATAAATAATGGATGCATATCTCTTAATGTATATACACATTTTAATCAAAAGGAAGAGCTAAACCTTATGTATATGCAAAATTTATATATATATATATATATATATATATATATATATATATATATATATATATATATATATATATATATATAATATATATACACTGAGAATACATATAATTTCGTTTACATTAATTCCCATAGACCCATGGTTAATATTAAATTATTCCTGACCGGTGGTGAACAAGTTCCATACAATCTTGACCCTCGTGTGGTTGATAGGCTTCAAGCTTTATCCATGTAAGGCTGCATAGCCCGTACTGGTTTAGCGCTTCCTAACATTAAAAAAACTGGCGCCATTTAATCGGCGCACATTACTGCGCCACTATAACAACTGTTACAGGGGCGTTACTCTAAACGACCACTTAAGTGATAGTGACAGTTTACCACTTGGTAGTGACACAAGTTAAACTTTCCACTTGTAAGTGGTAAAGTGACAAGCTACAACTGACAGCTCACAAGTGGTGGTGACAATTTACACTAAACGAACACTTGCTAGTGATGTTTCAACAGATTACTAGCACTTATAAATAGTAGTGACAAATGCAAGTGACATAATAAATGACTACATAATATAAAGTTACCACTTACTATAAGGTTGACAACAGTTGATGCTGAACTGTTCCAACAACAAACTTAAATAGAACAAAATTCAATAATTTCACAATTATTTCATAGAATTATTACTTTAGAAATATATATAATGTTTATATTACCATGTAAAAGCATTAGAGTAAATAACCAGTAATTTAGGCGATATAAGGGAAAAATGCTTACCAGAGGGACGCACACACCAACGTCATCGGCGCATGACTGAGGCGCCAATTTACGTGGATTTATGCACCACCACCAGACGATGACGTAGGAGCCTCTGAGCACTCTCATTGGTTGATCAACCCTGACGTATGCATCCTCAACAGTGACGTCACGACTCTTGATTGGCTGCTAGGTCTTGGCTGTCGAGTCTGTGACGTCATAGCTTAAATTAAAGGCTTTAATTGGCTGCTGCTTCCCGCCAACTTTACAATTCTCGCTTTGTTTGGCTGTGGCTCTTGATCCAAGGATTCAGAGCAACATTTCCCTAATAAAAAAACGAATGTATACACTCGTAGTGTGCTTTAATCTCTAATTTGAGTTATAAGGAATTCTCCCTCTTAATTTAGAGGCGACTTCCAACCCTAATGACCGTTGTGCAGGCGCTAGGCTTCAAACCTAACTGAATTTGAATTATCCATCGATTTATTGACAAACTTCATAATTTTTTTTTAAGAAATTATTATATTTCCAAGCTAAGAACATGGTGGATGATCCCTACGGGTTTAGTGCCTATCCATGAAATAATAATAATAATAATAATAATAATAATAATAATAATAATAATAATAATAATAATAATAAGGTTAAAAGTAACATCTAAAAACAATGTTTTTTTTTCTTGCTTAAGGAGGAAATTTTTTTTGAACATTTCTTGATTCTAAAATATTTGAACATTTTTGTCTGAAGAGAAAATGTTCTCTGTAGCATTTATGTTGTAGATAATTCAAGTAAAAATAGTTTTGATGCTGTTTTTGCTGCCTCTATTGTGGCTGTTGTTGTTATTGCTGTTAAGGTTGCTGTTGTTGCTGTTGCTATTGCTGATGTGACTGCTGTTGCTATTGCTGCTGTGGCTGCTGTTGTTATTGCTGCTGTGGTTGTTGTTGTTATTGCTGCTGTGGTTGTTGCTATTGCTTCTGTGGTTGTTGTTGTTATTGCTTCTGTGGCTGCTGTTGCTATTGCTGCTGTGGCTGCTGTTGCTATTGCTGCTGTGGCTGCTGTTGCTATTGCTGCTGTGGCTGCTGTTGCTATTGCTTCTGTGGCTGCTGTTGCTATTGCTGCTGTGCTGCTGTTGCTATTGCTTCTGTGGCTGCTGTTGCTATTGCTGCTGTGGCTGCTGTTGCTATTGCTTCTGTGGCTGCTGTTGCTATTGCTGCTGTGGCTGCTGTTGCTATTGCTGCTGTGGTTGTTGCTATTGCTGCTGTGGTTGTTGTTGTTATTGCTTCTGTGGCTGCTGTTGCTATTGCTGCTGTGGCTGCTGTTGTTATTGCTGCTGTGGTTGTTGCTATTGCTTCTGTGGTTGTTGTTGTTATTGCTTCTGTGGCTGCTGTTGCTATTGCTTCTGTGGCTGCTGTTGCTATTGCTGCTGTGGCTGCTGTTGCTATTGCTGCTGTGGCTGCTGTTGTTATTGCTGCTGTGGTTGTTGCTATTGCTTCTGTGGCTGCTGTTGCTATTGCTGCTGTGGCTGCTGTTGCTATTGCTGCTGTGGCTGCTGTTGCTATTGCTTCTGTGGCTGCTGTTGCTATTGCTGCTGTGGCTGCTGTTGTTATTGCTGCTGTGGTTGTTGTTGCTATTGCTGCTGTGGCTGCTGTTGCTATTGCTTCTGTGGCTGCTGTTGCTATTGCTTCTGTGGCTGCTGTTGCTATTGCTGCTGTGGCTGCTGTTGTTATTGCTGCTGTGGTTGTTGTTGCTATTGCTTCTGTGGTTGTTGTTGTTATTGCTTCTGTGGCTGCTGTTGCTATTGCTGCTGTGGCTGCTGTTGTTATTGCTGCTGTGGTTGCTGTTGCTATTGCTTCTGTGGCTGCTGTTGTTATTGCTGCTGTGGCTGCTGTTGCTATTGCTTCTGTGGCTGCTGTTGCTATTGCTTCTGTGGCTGCTGTTGCTATTGTTGCTGTGGCTGCTGTTGCTATTGCTGCTATGGCTGCTGTTGTTATTGCTGCTGTGGTTGTTGTTGCTATTGCTGCTGTGGTTGTTGTTATTGCTGCTGTGGTTGTTGTTGTTATTGCTGCTGTGGTTGTTGTTATTGCTGCTGTGGTTGTTGTTATTGCTGCTGTGGTTGTTGTTGCTATTGCTTCTGTGGTTGTTGTTATTGCTGCTGTGGTTGTTGTTGTTATTGCTGCTGTGGTTGTTGTTATTGCTGCTGTGGTTGTTGTTATTGCTGCTGTGGTTGTTGTTGCTATTGCTTCTGTGGTTGTTGTTATTGCTTCTGTGGCTGCTGTTGCTATTGCTTCTGTGGCTGCTGTTGCTATTGCTGCTGTTGCTATTGCTGCTGTGGCTGCTGTTGTTATTGCTGCTGTGGTTGTTGTTGCTATTGCCGCTGTTGTTGCTGTTGCTATTGCTGATGTGACTGCTGTTGCTATTGCTGCTGTGGCTGCTGTTGCTATTGCTGCTGTGGTTGTTGTTGTTATTGCTGCTATGGTTGTTGTTATTGCTGCTGTGGTTGTTGTTGCTATTGCTTCTGTGGCTGCTGTTGCTATTGCTGCTGTGGTTGTTGTTATTGCTGCTGTGGTTGTTGTTGCTATTGCTGCTGTGGCTGCTGTTGCTGTTGCTGCTGTGACTGCTGTTGCTTTTGCTTCTGTGGCTGCTGTTGCTATTGCTGCTGTGGTTGCTGTGGCTGCTGTTGTTATTGCCGCTGTGGTTGCTGTTGCTATTTTTTACATTTTATTTAAAATGCAATACATAACGAGGACATGAAATCCTGTGACCAAAAGATAAATACATTTAAATCAAAACGTCATACCATACTGGCACACAATGTTTGGCCATCACAACCCTAAGATATGGCATATCCCATATGAAAAAATAGAATGTTACAACATAAAGAGCTTAGATAAGAATAGAAATGGAGGTGGGGTATGTGCTTATGTAAGAAATGACTTAGCCAAGACCTGATTTGAATGATAAAATGGAGATTCTATGGCTTGAGGTGTTATCCATGATTAAACTAATCCTAGTAGGAACTTACAACTGCCCTCCACACATGATCAATGCTTAGAGGATTTTTCGAGAGTTTTGTCCGGAATTGATAGCAATTCTGAGACAGTGATATTGGAAGACTTCAGTATCTATTGCCAACAGCAAAATATTGGACTACGTAACAGGTATAAGCAGATTCTGTGATTAAATAGTTACACTCGACTAATTAATGCACCAACCCGGATCACGCAGTTTTTATCCAGTCAGGCGTCATTACCACAGATCTTAGCGATCATCTCATCATTTACTGCACCAGGAAAATCATTAGGGATCAGACAGGCCTACACAGGACAATTAAAATGAGGTCAACTAGAAACTTCAACAAAGAAATACTGGTAAATAGGCTAGAAAATTGTGACCGGACAGTGATTACATGTTGCACGGACGTAAATAATGCCTGGGAAAAATTCAAAATAATGTTCACTGCCATCCTTGATAATATTGCACCAGTTAAAAAGGTTAGGATTAAACGAAGAACTGAACCCTGAATGACTACTGAGATATTAGATAATATGAAATTCAGAGACCAGTTGCTGAAAAGATTTAAGATAAACAGGCAGGATATTGCAGCGCTAAATGAATTCCAGAGTTAGGAAATGAGTACAGAGGCTCATAAAAGGAGCAAAGGCAAGGCACTATTGCTCAAAAATCGAAGAGTACAAGAATAACCCCAGAAAGCTGGTTACCTGGAGGTTATTCCGGGGATCAACGCCCCCGCGGCCCGGTCCATGACCAGGCCTCCCGATGGATCAGGGCCTGATCAACTAGGCTGTTACTGCTGGCCGCACGCAGTCCAACGTACGGGCCACAGCCCGGCTGATCCGGCACTGACTTTAGGTATCTGGTAACATCTACAACAGTTGGGGTATATCCATAAACCCGTAGTTAGATCTAACACATGGCTAAATATTGATATCGAGGCATGCCACGACACAACTAAATTAACAAATTGTTTTAATTCATACTACACAAGTGTCGCATCAACACTAGTAAGTAAACTGCCAGTTGCGTCAGATTCCATTAACACAAACTGATAAATTTAAAACATATTACATTAATAAGGGCGTCACCCCGAACAGTTGCCAGCTAGTTGGTGTATCTTGTCACTTCGTACGAAAAGAACTAATTAAATTGAACCCAACTAAGAGCACCGGTCCCGATAACATCCAGCCTAAGTTCCTAAAAGAGGCGCCTCTGAATTACCATTGCGCACATAATAAATTTGTCCATAGCCACAAATACTGTCCCGGAGGGATTCGAAGAGGCCAGAGTTACTCCTGTCTTCATGAAAAACATTAGGCCTGATATCAGTATATATAGGTCTTTTAGTATACTCAGAGTGATGTCCAAAATTCTAGAGAAGGCGGTATATTGTCAAATAGTTAGGTATCATAATGACAAAAACATTTTCCACAGTTACCAGTCAGGTTTTAGGAGATCTTATTCAACCGACATCTCCCTCATTAATTTGATGGATTACCTGAGAACTGAAATGTCGCTAGGGAATTTCATAGGAATGGTAACCTTAGACTTGCAAGAGGCCTTCGATACTGTTAACCACAATATATTGTGTAGGGAGCTACAAGCTATCGGCATAAGTTCTGTAGAATGGTTTAAGTCCTACTTGAGCAACAGGAAATAAATTGTCAAGATCAACAGTACAGAATCAAAACCCATGTTGATAACATGTGGGGTTCCTCAAGGTAGTATCCTGGGCCCTTTGCTATTCTTGTGTTATGTGAATGACACATGTGGACTGTATATTAAAAATAATAAATGGTTATATATATACACAATTACATAACAGAAGGAAAATATATCTTAATATCACTCACCAATTTGACTGGATATTAAGTTGTATCATACTCAGAAAAACCTCACTAACTAAATTTATGAAAACACTGGCCAGAATTATACACAAATCTAGAGAGCTTATCTGAGGTTCCTGGAGCTGTCTTGTCCAGTCATCTGATATCTCAAATTATGCAGGAATGCATGTCCAACAATTTCGCCTCCTATTTGAGAGGTGTCAGCCCAATTTTAACCTCTATAGCACGAAAATTCCTTCCCACTACACTAACGTTGTATCCAATTCAAAACCAAGATGGCGAGTGACCCCCCCCCCAGCCACAGGTTTCCCATTTTCGATAACATACTTCTTTTAAAAATACAATATAGGGCATCTATTTACCTATAAATTACTGTATTTCCGGAAAATATATACAGTATTTTCCACAACACACCTATCACTGTCAGGTGTACGCAAATGATAGTGCTCTGTTAGTATCAGGTAAAGACCCACAAGACATTGCTAGTGTACTATCACCATCACTAGAGTCCTATAGCAAATAGTTGGTAGGCAACAAATTATCACTACACCTCCGGAAAACGGAACCCATACTCTGGCACGAAACATAAATTGAAAAGGGTAAATAATTTTAATGTCCAGGGTAATGGGGAACCTATTATTAAAGTAAATTCGGTGAAATATCTAGGAATCCCTTTTGACCCAAGCATATCAGGAGAACTAATAGGGAACAATGTAGTCAAGAAAGTGAATGCCAGTCTCAAGTTCCTCTACAGACAGACGCAGGGTCTACCAACTGAGGCTCGCAGGACCCTATGCCTAGCTCTCATACAATATGTTATAGAATACTCTTGCTCTTCATGGTACTCTGCCTTAACACGAACCTGAAAGATAGGGTACAAATCACCCAGAACAAAATGGTGAGATTCATTCTGGACCTGGGACCAAGAGAGCATGTAGGCCAGAATGAATTACGGCTAGTGGCATGCTGAATGTTGAAGACACAGTAAATCAACCAAAGCTAAATTACGTTTATAAAACTGCTCACAACCAGTGTCCCCAATATCTTACTGCCAATTTTGTTAAGGCTGGGAACCAGTGCAATTACAGAACTAGGGGAAGGGAGAAAAACTTTGCAGTACCTAGAGTCAGTGGTCAGGCTTCAAAGACATTTTTCTATACAGCAATAAAGGAATGGAATAGACTGCCTGCATATATCAAAGCCTGTCATAGCATGAGCCAGTTCGAGAAGAGAGCCAATATGTACCTCATGAGTATGGCTACAGAAAGGGAGGAGAGTGATTTCTTGTATGAAAATAACTAATCCCCCCCCCCAGTATAACTTCTTTTATTGTAATAGCTTTTACATAGTTAAGATACTTACCTGTTTTTAACTTTTAAATATAAATAATAATTATCACAAGAAGCCCAATGGAAATAAATCACTCTGACTTCTTTGGGTTATCCTAGGTTCTCTACACATATGCTGCAATGTATGATAATCTATGTAATTGTATTTTTGGCGTCGTACTGTATGGGTAGGGCGTGCAATATATGCCCTAATGTTGTTTGTATATGGATTTTATTTCCATATTACACACTTTGTGCGCATGTGATGGTTATGTTAAGATTGGCCATGTAAAGTTTGACCATGTTTATCGTTATTTTCAATATGTGATCATTTATGTTAAGACCTGTCATAACATAGTATTAGATGGATGGCGTCATACTGTATGGGTAAGGTGTGCACGTTTCTTTGTATTGTTTAATGTTGACGGATAATATATATGTGATGCTATGTATGTTGTACACAATGTTTTTAAATAAAATATAAAAAAAATTTATTTGTGTATACCTAAATAAACTAACTTGCAAAGGAGGGCTCGATACGGCATAAGCTGTCAGTGGTCTTTATAACCCCAACAAACACACTGGGAACATTCTTTTGCCGACTTCTGCGCCAATTTTCATCGGGTGTGGACATCTCTCTCTCGCTTGTGTATCAGTGACAAATTTCCACCGTTCTCTCTGGGACGCTTGTCCTCATCTATTTTGCCCACCGGGCACCTGTACATCGGCTTACTGTAGCCAGCTCCATTTTTTTTCCGTCCTGCGGAAAATTCTTTAATGGTCTTTGGTGGGAAGCCGGTTACTGAACTCAGGTGGGAATGTAGGCGTCCCTCTCTGCTGGGGCTTGGCAAGGGGGTCCACCGGATCTAAGTGGAAACTTCAAGTTTCTATCTCTATTTACAAAGGAACTTTTGTTCCTTTTCTTTCATCGCCCAGCCTTAGGCAACAAATCTTCCTCGTACCATCGAGAAACCGGGTTCGATACGGCGTATGCTGTTAGTGGCCCTCATAAACCAAACAACAACAACATTCTTCTTCCACAATGGCTGTCTTAACGTCTTATATAAGCTACATTATACAAACCAGTGCTGCTCTTGAGAGAAGAGGAGCCTTGAGACTATTACAGGTAGAAATTATTCGTATTCAGAATAACTAGAGAAGTGTTGTGATGCCGGTGAGGGGCTCGTGATCCAGGGAACTGGAATTTTCCTCGTCCTACAGCCGGATCTGAACTAAATTTATTTATTTATTTATTTATTTAGTAATTTAAGCATACAAACAGAGGTACAAAAAATGCAGGTAAGAGCAGCATGCCAAAGCCACTTATATGCATAGCATTACGGGCTGGCTTAAAATTAACTTAAGATTAACTAAGCAATAATGAAATCAGTGATAAAACATTATTGTAAACAGATAACTATAAAGCACAAGTGAGTATTACAAAGACAGGTCATATGGTTGCATGCATTGCTGTTCATTCAGTAGAATGGAGTATTCTGTTAGGTAGTGTATTTAAAAAAATAATAAAGTTAGATTGGGTCCTAGGTTTAACATTTGTGTGATATAATTGTGAGTAACATATAGGATATACAATTGATAAGGTTCAGTTATTCAGTATTTATTTGGTTTTGAGTGAATAAGTGATCTTTGAGAAGAGACTTGAATTTATGAACAGGTAGTGTTTCTTTTATATTTACAGGTAATGAATTCCAGATTTTAGGGCCTTTTATGTGCATTGAGTTTTTGCATAGTGTGAGATGGACACGAGGAACATCAAAGAGTGATCTGTGCCTTGTATTATGGTCATGTGTTCTGTGAGTTGGCAAGGAGATGTTTGAGGGAGGGTTAATATCAGAGTTAAGTTGTTCTATGTATGTAATAGGTGCAGTAATAGTATGGATGTTTTGTATGGTGAGTAGGTTGAGTGTTTTGAATATTGGTGGAGTGTGTTGCCTGTAGTGAGAATTTGTTATCATTCTAACTGCAGCCTTTTGTTGAGTAATTAGTGGTCTGAGATGGTTAATTGTTGTTGAGCCCCATGCACAAATTCCATAGGTGAGATAGGGGTAAATAAGAGAATGATATAGGGCCAGGAGGGCTGACTGTGGAACATAGTACCGTATCTTCGATAGTATGCCTACAGTCTTGGAGATTTTCTTAGAAATTTGTTGTATATGTGTATGAAATTTGAGTCTATTATCGAGGTGGATTCCTAGGAATTTTCCCTCTGTTAGCTTTGTGATAGGTGATCCGTTTATTGTTATGTTAAGAGGTACATCTGTAGCTCTTTTACCAAACTGAATGAAGTAGGTTTTGTCAATGTTTAGTGTAAGTTTGTAGTCCTCATCCAGGTAGATATTTTCTGTAATTCGGTGTTTACAGTATTGGCTAGCGTGACTGGGCTCGGTGGAGAAGACGTATGTAGTGTCATCTGCAAAAAGTGTGGGTTTGAGTAATTGCGAAGCATTTGGTAGGTCATTTATGTATAGGAGAAAGAGAAGAGGGCCAAGGACACTTCCCTGTGGGACACCAACTGTAATTGGTTGTGCGGAAGAGCTTGCCCCATTTGCGTACACATATTGGCTTCTGTTGCTGAGGTAAGACTTGAGGTAGTTGAGGGAGTGCCCTCTAATACCATAGTGTGACAATTTTACGTGGAGCAAGTCATGGTCAACTGTATCAAAAGCTTTACGTAAGTCAATGAAGATCCCCAGTGGGATTTCTTTTTTCTCTATTGCAGTGTATATATGTTCTAGCATGTGTATAATAGCATCATTAGTATTTTTATTAGGCCTGAATCCAAATTGGCAGGGGTTTGAGAATGTTTTGGGAGATGAGGTAGGAGTAGATTCGTTTATGAATTAATTTTTCGAAGATTTTTGAGAGAGGGTGTACATTGGATATTGGCCTATAGTTATTCAACTCTGTTTGGTCTCCTCCTTTATGGATCGGGGTGACCCTTGCTATTTTGAGAACTGTAGGGAAGGTGGAGGATTCAATGGATTTGTTAAAGAGTGTTGCAATGATTGGTGACAGTACTTGTGACGCTTTTTTGTATATAAAGGGTGGTAAGGTATTTAAATCTCCTGCCTTGTTTTTCAGTGCGTTGATAATAAGGGAGACTTCGTATGGGTTAGTCGGAGCTAGGAACAGTGTGTTCGGGTAGTTGCCAGTGAGGTAGTCATTTGGTGGGGTATCTGAGCTGGGGATTTTATTGGCAAGGTTTTGACCTATAGTGGAGAAGAAATCATTGAGTCTGCTGTTTTTGTTGGTGGGAGTTGGGGTTCATCTGATTTTGCTAATTTTATTTCGCTATGTCATGATATCTTTTTTGTTCCCAGAATTTCTGATAGGATCTTCCAGGTCTTTTTTATATCACCTCGTAAGTTGGATAATCTGTTCTCATAATACAATTTTTTTGCCCTTCTTATCAGGCTGGTTAGGATTGACGAGTAACGTTTTGTTTGGTCTCTGGTTATGTGACCCATTCTGTACTGTTTTTCATATCGGTGTTTTGTATATATGGATTTGAGAATGCTGGGTGTTAGCCAGGGACTGTTCAGTCTCTTAGCTGTCATCTGTTTAGTTTTTTAGGGCAGTGCTTGTTATAAAGGTATTGGGTCTTTTTTAGAAAATTATTAAAACATTCGTCAATATCTGTATAGATTTCTAGCTCAGTGTGCCAGTCAATGTTTGTTACTGCTGTTGTGAAGTTATTAATGTTGTTATTGAGTATTTGTAACCTTTATTATATAATTACCATATTATTACTATTGCTTTTTATTCTGCTGTATAATTCTGGTGGGTTTAGCGCTTAGTTTTGATTATAATAATAATAATAATATTCTACTGTATAACAATTATTTTTATCCTGCCCATTCAACTAATTAATTTTGATTTATATGTGACTGAATACCCCTCAAGGGAGGTTCCTTGATGCTGGTGAGGGGCTCTTGCCTGGTGGCTAAAGCTCCCGCTTCACACACGGAGGGCCTGGGTTCGATTCCCGGCGGGTGGAAATATTTTGACACGTTTCCTTACACCTGTTGTCTTGTTCACCTAGCAGCAAATAGGTACCTGGGTGTTAGTCGACTTGTGTGGGTCGCATCCTGGGGGACAAGATTGAGGACCCCAATGGAAATAAATTAGACAGTCCTCAATGACGCACTGACTTTCTTGGGTTATCCTGGGTGGCTGACCCTCCAGGGTTAAGTCTGAACGAAATCTTATCTCTTATCTTATCTGTGCTCCAGTTCCCTGAATTAAACCTGAATACCTTCCACATCCCCCCACAGGCACTGTATAATCCTACGGGTATAGCGCTTTCCCCTTGATTATAATAATAATGTAACTGAATAATGTTACCAACCAATTCATTTTATTCAATACAGTATCAGCAACATGACTGACTTCCACTTTGATGGCATCACGTGAATTCACTCTGTATACTTTTTACAGAAATGGCCAAAATCTTCAAGCTGTATTATAAATCATAGAGTCTTTTCTGCATTAAACCCAAGGAGTCAACCACCTAAGAAGGAGTCAAAGAAGACGAAGTCAGTAGTATCATGGAAATCTCTCCTGGTCGCAGGAATTGTTGGTTCTAGTCTCTTGGGCTTCATGATGTATGTCAGATCAGAGAAAGAATTAGGTTTGTGAAGATTTATTTTTGATATTTCATTAGTTTTGATATTTCATTGGTTCATACATCGGTTCATGTGCAGCCAGCAGTAACAGCCTGGTTGATCAGGCCCTGATCCACCGTGAGGCCTGGTCATGGACCAGTCTGGGGTGGTGTTGACCTTTGTAATACCCTCCAGGTATACTCAAGGCCTTTTCACCTAGAACATTATTTAACAACTACAGTGGACCCCCGGTTAACGATTTTAATCCGTGCAAGAGGGGTAATTGTTATGCGAAATAATCGTTATGTGAATGAATTTTCCCCATAAGAAATAATGGAAATAAAATTAATCCGTGCAAGACACCCAAAAGTATGAAAAAAAAAATTTTACCACATGAAATATACATTTTCCCACACACAAAGAGAAGGATACATGCACAATAGTAGAGTAGTACATGCACAGTATATATTGTGCATGTACTAGTCTACTAAATGAAGAATAAATGACACTTACCTTTATTGAAGATGCAGCAATGACTGATGAGACACTGTGTCCTGGGAGTGCCTTTTCCTCCTGAGTACTGTAGGTCCTGTTTGGCATTTTCTTCCAGAACAGGCCTTATCACACTGTGTATGCCACTACGATTCTTAAATCTCTCAAACCAACCTTTGCTGGCTTTAAATTCACCAATATGAGCACTAGTTCCAGGCATTTTTCCCTGTTCACCTGGGTGTTAGTCGACTTGTGTGGGTTGCATCCTGGGAGACAAGATTCAGGACCCCAATGGAAATAAGTTAGACAGTCTTCGATGACACTGACTTTTTTGGGTTATCCTGGGTGGCAAATCCTCTGGGGTTAATTGTTTCTTGGTATTCTCAATAAGCCACACCAACAACAGTGCTACAGCAGCAGCAGCAGCTGACAGTGCAGCAGCAGCAGCAGCTGTACCACCAATAGTAGCGATGGTTGATTGGGGTTTATTATACAACCTGGCCAGCTCGGAGACATGCACTCCACTTTCATACTTATCAATGATCTTTTTCTTCATCTCTATTGTAATTCTCACCCTTATTGCTGTAGGGTTGGCACTAGAAGCTTTCTTGGGGCCCATGGTCACTTATTTTCCAGAAAAAGCACCGAAAACACTGTAATAATACGAAATATTCCGATTGTATGCTTGGATGTTACCGCGGAGGCTGGCTGGTAAACAATGCCACCGGCAGAACATGTGAGCGTGGCTCAGGCCGCACATTGGACGCGTCTCGGACGAAAATCGGTAAGCGGGTTTTTAAGCGGTATGTGAGGCAAAATTTTTGCAATTAAAGTAAGCGGTATGCGAAATAATCGCTATGTGATGCCATCGTTATGCGGGGGTCCACTGTATTTAATAGTTGCTGGTAATATTCAAATAAATGATTCTGACAGCAATAAAGTTAATAAGATGCATGTATATTAAGCAGCAATTATTTAAATGTATTTCATAAAGTTTTAAAATACAATTGTTGCATAATTCATATTTTGTTTAGTGAGATTAGGTATTATGCAAGATATTTTGTCAGTCATGTATAAAATAGGTTACTTTACTTCAGTTTTTGTATTTAATTTATTGAAAAGTTTTGATCAGAGTAAATCCATTTTGCTTCATTTATTTTCAGCTTTAGCAAAGGAAAGGAAGAGAGCTTTAGGGAAGGCCAGCATTGGTGGAAAATTTGATTTAATCGACCATAATGGCACTCCCAGAAAGAGTGAAGATTTCTTAGGCCAGTGGGTTTTACTCTATTTTGGCTTCACACATTGTCCAGATGTCTGTCCAGATGAGCTGGAGAAGATGGCCACTGTAGTTGACTCTATAGGTGAGCAATATTCATTGCAATAATAATATGAATATATTTCTCACTAGTCACCTGAAATATATTACAAAAATTATTGCATAGCACTATCCCATTATTGAAAAATCATAATTCTTATTTTTTACAGATGCAATGGAGAATGCAAAGAACATTCAGCCACTGTTCATCACAGTGGATCCACAAAGAGATAGCCAGGAGGCCATCAGAAAGTATTTAAGTGAATTTCATCCCAAGATGTTAGGACTGACAGGGTCAGATGAGAAGATTGCAGAGGCGTGCCATGCTTACAGAGTGTATTTCAGTGCTGGACCCAGGGACGACGATGATGATTATATAGTGCGTAAACACCCCTTTGATTTGATTTTGATCACATAAGTTTTTAGTATTGTGCTTCAGAAATTAAATATAGTATATTACAGAGTACTGCATACATTATAACATTCTTTCAAAATATTTCAACCATTATGCAGTATGCTGTGTATTAGCCAAATAAAAAGTAATGGCTATTATAATTACAATAACTGCAATTGAAAGCTCAACAAAATAATTTTTATATGGAATTTATAATCAAAATCAGTTGTAAATTTTTTTTGAAAATATGATTAATGGACTTGGCAGACACCATAGACTATTCCCTGGATTTTTTTTTTTTTATATTTCAAGTTTTGTTACTAGAGCCCTTTAAGGAGAATACCCTGATGTTGGTGAAGTTTTTCTGATCCAAGGAATTGAATCTACTCTTGTCTTCCTTGGATCAGATCTGAGTACTTTCCATTCCCAAGCATTGTATAACCACTGTGGGTTTGGCACTTACCCATGAATATAATAATAAGAAAGAAGTCTGGATGCATAAATTTTTCACTCTGGTGAGTGTGGTGTCATGTTGCACCACCACCTATGTTGTGTATTTTAGTTTGATTCTTTCAGGTTTAGAGCTTTACTTGCTCACACTAATAATTTGCATTACTGTCAATCTTGCTTTTTACAGATTATTTTTTTATGCCTTCAGGTGGACCATACTATCATCCTCTACTTAGTGAATCCAGATGGTGACTTTGTGGACTATTATGGACAAAACTCAACTGCAGACCAAGTGACTGCCAGCATTGCTTTCAATATGAAGAAATTCGAGGATATGAAAAAGAATTTCTTTAGTCGCCTCTTGTAGTTTTAGGAGGATAGTATGTAATGTCGTAATGTTGTATATTTACTTGATGCATAAGTTTTTAATTAATAAAAAAGAAAAGGGTTAAAAAGATTTAACTTTTTCATTGCACATACTCCTGGAAATGAAATATTCTTTTAATCATGCAATATTTGTTTTGTAGAAAAATTACATTGTTATATGAATATATGTTAAAAGCACTAATTGTAAATATTTTTCAGCAATGAATGTAATTTGTAGAAAGGTAAAAATTGCTAATGGTATATGGGGCTATATACAGTAATTGATACACTGTAGCATATTAGAATGAGCCATTATTTAATATAAATATGCAACATTACATAAATTTATATTTCGGAAATTCTTTAATCTTTTAAATAACCCAGTAGAATAGTTTTTATAGTCATTCGTACACATTCACAGGGTGTCACATTTGTAGAGATCCCACAAACTAGGAACTGTGAATACAAAATTAAGTGTGCATAATGTATTTTGTTTCAAGTTTATTGTATACATGTATTTTGTTACAGAGATTATCTCCTTATTGTATCACTCTAATCCAGTTAATGTTGGCATTCATAAGAAATCATGACAATAGAGAGATATTGATGCAGGAAAACCACTGAGCCAAATACACATTGAATAATTTAATCTAATCAGTGGTTTCCTTTCAGGGAAAGTGCTTGATAATTGAAATTCATGGATACATAATCCTATGAAGCTGTAGGCATAACAGTACAGTAATAAGTTTTCTGAAATTCATTTAGACAAAGAAATGTATATACTAATTAATTAAAATTATTACTCTATTAATTACAAGCTGTGCTGGAATTACAGTACTGTGCTGTAACTTAAAGCATATTTAGAAAGTAAAGGAAAATTTGGAGTAAAGATATAAATGTTTCAAATTGACTAATTGGTCAATAACATTAAAAGCCCATAATCAAAATAAAACATAAGAATTATGAATACTGCGAGACACTACAATCACGTGCAGCATTTACTCTGAAAGGACTTGTGGCTCATGACACTTTTCCTGGTATCTAACACACTGGCCATCTCCCACCGAGGTAGGGTGCCCAGAAAAGGAAACTTTCACCATCATCCACACTATCACTATCTTGCCAGAGGCATGCAGATACAACAGCTCAGATGTCCTTCCAAACGGCAAATATACCTAGTTCTTCTTTAGAGTGCAGGCATTGTACATCCCATCTCCAAAACTCAAATCCGACTAACCAGTTTCCCTGAATCCCTTCACAAAAAATATAAACATATCTTGTATATATAAACATGTTTTGCTATTTTTAAGCAAATTTACACAGCACTTAGTTTCCATTATAATATTAAGCAAATTTATGAATACTATGTATTATTGTACATAGTATTTTTTTTTTTTTTTTTTGAGGATGGCTGAGTAACTTTACCTAAACACCTGGGTTGAAAATCATGAAAGATATTCCAAATCATTTTATACAGTATAATGCAAATACCACACTTAGTCATTTGAATTGTGATCTCTGCAAATTTCTCGCTAGACAGTCGTTGAATGAATGATGGTGTGTTCAATTTTTGGGAGGGTCACCCTACTTTAGTGGGAGAGGACCACTTTGTTACTGGAAAAAATATACTGATTTCATATACTAAAGTAATATAGGACAAAACATCATAACCAAAGTGCCAGGCTCTACAAAGTGCCCTCTGGTGTTTCAGCATTGAGAGACTAATTAATAAACCCAATCCTAGCAAATGATTTATACTAATACTAAATATATAAGGAGCAAGCCCTTTTCAGCATAGTATGCATGTTGAGAAGGAAGAGGGTGGTTCTTGTTCCTTCCCATCCTATCCATAACCACTACCTAAAACCTGGTCCATGCCCTCTCCTTACTGTAAAATAGAATAGCAACCATAGCGTTCAGAGGAAATTTTGCCTTAGTCTTACTATTTCAGGAAATATAAAATTCTTCATGTATGTACTGTATTTAGCTTTTAGCGTTAGAAACTTAAGAAGCTATCTTCTCCTTCAACAAGTTGAGATTAACTTTAAAGTTTGTTGGTGGAAGGCCACGAACTCCTAAGCCAGTGATAGCAAATGTGCCTCCTGCTGCAGGGTCACTTGCTAGTGCTTCAGCTGATAATCCAGTTTGGGCTGATGTTACAAAGAGAGTGGAGTAATCTGCTCCACCCCAGCAAACTGAAGTTATGTTCTGTGTTGGCAACTCCACTTTACGGATTATCTTACCAACTTTTGGGTCCACACACATAACCTGTAAAATAAATCAGCACCATTGTCATTTCATAAATACATTATAGAAATGCCCTATTTTATGCTCTATTAAGTGAATGCCACCCACACCCATTGGGCCAGGAGCTGAGTCTCAACCCACACAAACATTATGAAAGGAAGCTTAACCCTTAAACTGTCCAAGCAGATCTACATTCACATGCGTAGTGCTCCAAAAGTAGATCAACGTTTTTTTTTACATATTTTCAAATATAACAAAAAAAAAGTAGATCAAAGTTTTTTTACACGTTTTCAAACGTAAAAAAAAAAAAGATCTACTTTTTTTACATACTTTCAAATGTTGAAAAAACGTAGATCTACGTTTGGACAGTTTAAGGGTTAATGTCCTGATACTGAGTAAAACAAAACTAAGCAGGATGAGAGAGTTTAAAATCAAGAATTTTTTCATTTTAAATGAACCTGCTGTATCCCATCAAGGCAGGGTGACCTAAAACGAAAAAAGAAAGTTTCTCTTTATAAATTTTATAATGTATATACAGGAGAAGGGGTTACTAGCCCCTTGCTCCTGGAATTTTAATTGCCACATATGATATGCATGGCTTATGGAGGAAGAATTCTTTTCTGCTTCCCCATGGAGATAAGAGGAAATAAAGAACAAGAACATAAGCTCTGCCTTCTTATGTGCCAAATGGACTTTATCTCCCAAAGAACAAGAAGTATTAGGAAAATAGAAGAAAACCCACATGGGTGTGTAAATATATATGCATGCACATGTATGTGTAGTGTGACCTAAGTGTAAGTAGAAATAGCAAGATGTGTATACCTGTTATCTTGCATTTTTTTTTTTAACAAGTCGGCCGTCTCCCACCGAGGCAGGGTGACCCAAAAAGAAAGAAAATCCCCAAAAAGAAAATACTTTCATTATCATTCAACACTTTCACCTCACTCACACATAATCACTGTTTTTGCAGAGGCTCTCAGAATACAACAGTTTAGAAGTATATACATATAAAGATACACAACATATCCCTGAAAACTGCCATGTTTATGGGAAAGAAAAAAGACACCAGCAATCCTACCATCATATAAAACAATTACAGGTAAAATCAAGAATTAAAAGAATAAAGTTCAGAGTACTGTATTTTGGTGGGAATTTTTAATTGGTTTAGTTGACAATAAAGTTTTCTTATTGTTTATTTTTACTGTTTATACATTTATATTTATCACAGAAGTAAGAAAGAATTAGTCTGATTAGATTTTATGCTGAATAAATATTTTATAGCATCTTACAGTTTTAAACACATCAAGCAGTCTTATATGGTTAACATTTTGATGACCACCAACCTTTTTACCAAAAAAATTGGCAACCCATAGATTTCCTGTTTCATCAATGCACATTCCATCAGGAAGGTCCTTTGCCAGTCCAGATGCTTTGTAGTCAAACACAGTACGACGGTTTTCTGCAAAAAAATAATAAAATGTATGTCTATTTTGAAGATCTAAAGATCAGCAGTGTTTAAAAAATTGCAGTTGCATGAATTTCTCAACTTTATCATTGTTAATGTACAATCAATCTCCACTTAATGACCTTGATAGGATCTGGACAAAGGGTTTGTTAGGCAAAATATACATTAATTGTATTTTCTCACAAACTTTTAAATCCACTTTCGTGTTTAGAGTAAAGCACTTCTTTTAGCTTTTGCACCATGTTAGCTAAGATGAAAAGTTTTGAGTATTATAGAAAAGTTTTGAGAAGCAAGGAAACATATGGACTTGCTCAATTAACTCGTTTTCTTGTGAATTCCTGCAAGTCACAACAACGGTAAATGCTGAAAAGCGAGTCGTCTATTATGGAGAGTGGCCACCATGATAGCAAGCAGTGTGGCATCATGTGTTCATTTCTTGGTTATTGCCACCTGGTATGAGGTCATTCTGTGAGCATAAAATGTTTTAAGCTGGGGAGGTTCTTTTTTTCGGTTGTCATTCAAAATTATAGTCTGTGAATGTTTGTTAATTGGGGAGGCCTGTGTATTTTAGATGTAGTGTTCCCATGATCTCCAGACTTTCATTTTTTTTTTTAAACACACTGGCCATCTATCACTGAGGCAGGGGGATCTAAAAAAGAAACTTTCACCATCATTCATACTATTACTGTCTTGCCAGAGGTGCACAGGTATGACAGTTTAGATGTCACTCAACACCAAATATCCCCCCCCCCCCTTCCATTTTAGACTTTCGTAACTATAATTCATTTACATTATTACAGATACAGTACCTGAAGGAGCAATACACCTTACTGCATGCAGTGAGGAAACCTACTGTGTATTTTACAAAACAGTTCCAGTACCATTTCCATCACTACTGTTAAATTTGCATTGTCTTTCAGAGATCATTCTTTAATATATTTCCACTATTTTAATGCTCATAAGCAAATGTTGACCACAGTCAGCCTTCAAAAAGAACAAAGATAATCTTGCATAATTATTTAAGACTAAGATAATACACTACAACCTCTCCTCACTTAGCGATGTACCCGTTTACCGACAACTCGGACTTATGATGGGCTCTCTGACCAGTATGCATACCTAAATATTGTATATTATATCTGATTTCCTCTATTCCTTTTATTACAGTACTACAGTACACTACTGTATATACATTTAAAACTATACCAGAAATGTTATAAATAGTGCAAAGGTGACAATTACACAATATCAATGAGGGTTGACACAAACCCACTACCATTGTAGTATGCTCCTCACTTAGCAACAAATTACTAGTTTACTGATGTGGTCTTAGGAACGGAACTCTATCGTTAAGAGAGGAGAAGCTGTATCAGAAATACAGTACTAATTAAGAGCTTATCAGTCTTGTTGGTGCTAACAGAGTAAACATGTGAATTCCAGAACTCACCAATTTTGCTAGTGGCATCATCGTAATCAAAGGCATCAATGGAGTGGGCAAGAGAGTCAATATAATAGAAAGTTTTCCTATCGAGACTCCATGCTAATCCATTTGCAATGGAGATCTGTGAATTAAGAAGAATAGAAGATAACTAGGTTCAAACTCATAAGAACTCAAGAAAAAGTACTGTAATCCAGTGTATGAAATTAAATGACCCATACAGGTTTAATACCTTTGTAATAATGATATGAAATAATAATAATAAATAATAATAAAAAATGTTTGAAATCAACTGCTTTCTCTTCAAATCATAATATAACGAGCAGTCATCATGTATAAAACAAAGGGACATACACAGGCATACCTCATTAATACAGCACTCATCTTAGAGCACTTTGCTAATCTGGCACTTTTCAATCATATTCATGTTTATTTTCAGTGCTTGTTGTACTCTTAAGATGGTTTTCAGCAATATTTAAATTTTTATTTATTATTTTACTTTTGCATTTCATTTTTTAGGCCTAGTGCTATTGCACAATTAATAAATGATAATGTATACATGTTTTTAGGGTTTTATATGCACTGGCAAGTGAGAAAAAGGCACTCATCTGCTTTAAGGCAATATTCGCTTTACAGTGGCAGTCCAGAATCTAGCCTGCTGTATTAGTGAGGTATGCCTGTATTCAGTATATATCCATTGTTTTTAAATATACATACTGTAGTAGTTAGTACAAGGCATTCTCAAATTACATTCATTATTATGCTTCCCATAATTATATTATTTGACAGAGTGATTACTGAAACCAGTAACATACATTTTTGAACTATGTATTACATTATAATCATTATGTAAATATGGCACAATGAAGGATAGGTCTGTACAAAGCTTATCACATACAGTATTGATTATACTTTAAGTGAGGGTTATGATTAGAAAAATATCAAGGATTTTAAGAAAGAGCTAAAAGATATGGAATGGAACAAACATTTTTAATATTTTAAATATAAAACTGATCATTGAAAGGATGTTTGCAGGAATAACAGCTTAGTATAAGAAATACATGAGTTGTTCATTTGTACTATTTGTTTATATATTTTTTACTTGTGTTGAGAAATATGATGTGCAGTACAGTAGTGAAAAATCTAAAGGATAAGATAACAAAAATTACAGCATTTTGGAAGGCAGAATGGAAGTGCTGTAGCTGTTATTGGTATTGGGGTAGATTAACCCTTAAATGGTCCAAACGTATATATACGTTTTTTCAACATCTGAAAGTATGTAAAAAAATGTAGATCTTCTTTTTTGTTTTACATTTGAAAATGTGTAAAAAAAACTTTTATCTACATTTTTTTTGTTATATTTGAAAATATGTAAAAAAAAAGTAGATCTACTTTTGTAGCACTACGAATTTGAACGTCGATCTCTTTGGACCGTTTAAGGGTTAAGGAAGGTAGTTATATGGGATGCACTTCTCAAGAGTAGACTGAAGGAGCAGTGTAAAACTCCATTTTAAGTTTTATACATTTGCAGATTTAACTATACATTCACTTCAGTTATTAATTTATGGTAATAATGATCTTATACAAATTTGTTTTATAATGCTGCTTATCTCTGTACTACAATAATGCTTTTGTAAGTAATATAAATAATTTTTGTCATTTTCATTACAAAACAGTGTTATCAACCAGTCAACAACTTTATATACAACCTACCTTATTAACCCGGTTAGTGATGTTAAGATCAGCATCAATGCAGAACAATGAGCCCTGGTACATATCTAGTTGTCCAGGTGCTGTTTCTTTCCCCATTGTACCTTGTTAGTATATAAAGAAAATACTAGGGCAGTCATAAACACACAACATTAAAGACAAGTTAATTGGATTTTCAAGAACTGCATACCTCTCTGAAATTTTTAATACTAATTTGGATTGTACATTACTTATTTCTAGCAGACATACACTTTCTGGTAACAGCTGCATACAGGCCTTGACATTTGAGATTGACATTTTAAGTCCAGGTTACAAGGTGATGAGTGTAAGGACAGGCTGCTGCTGGCCGGCTTGTTGGAGGAAGGTTGTAGTAGGTTTCACGTTCAGGTGAACAACGGTGGTAGGAGTGATCATTTTGAGTTATCAGTGCAGATGGGGCACTGAGTGACTTATAATACTTTGCTGAATGACTGTATCATTAGCAGCTATGAAATTGTTAAGATTAAATAAGTCTCTTAACTTTCTAACAGTGACTGGCTAAACAGACTGGAAAGCAGAGCTTACAACAGCCAAAAGAATGCTTGGTGATGTATGGGTACTGGCGTTCACTGCCCAAAGGACGAACAAATGCCTCTACTTAGTAATGGATACATATTATAGTTGTCAGAATATAACTATAATTTGCACAATGAAAATGGATGATGTTTAAAGATTAGGCATGGAAGAACAACCATTCTACATCTAGAACCAAGTTGGTGAACTGTTGCAGATTTTGTTTACAGTTAGCAACTTGAATAGTTGCCAACTTGGGAAGTACCTGTATCTTGTATGTGGACAATGAATATTCCATCTTACAGTGCATTGTGATAAGTAGTTTCAGTGATTGTGTTAGTAGTTTAGGCAATATTCTGCTGGGTTTTGCAAGAGAAGTTAATTGCCATTGCATTGTTGGAGATGCCATGTCTGTGGTTAAGGACTAAGTGTCAAATGATCTGTTGGGTTCAGCATGAGCAGCTGTCAAGTGATCTCAGAGAACAGTTTTCTCCAATAGCTTGTATATCATTCCTGGAGAGAAAGATTCATTTTGATACTGGTAGCATTCCAAAGCACACTTGATTCAACTCACATTACATCGTGGGAAAATAGAGGTGGCTGGTTTCTGACACAGCAGATAATGCTCTTAATAAGTAGTAAAAATTCATCTCCATCCCTGCTTCCTCTACCCCTACTCCCCCACTCTACCACTGAATCGAGCATGATAAGGCTCTCTGCCCCAAGGTTAATGGAGAGATATGCTTCAAGGGAAGTGCTTTCATGCTGGGTTAAGGCTCTTGATTAGGAATTGAAGCCACTCTCCTTTTCCTTGTATCCAAGCTGATAACTCCCTCATTCCCAAACTACTGTATGACTCCTATAATTATAGCTTACCTCTTATGCATGAAAATACATGGAAAGCCAGCCAATGTAACTCATGGTACTGTACTTATGTTGTTTTTTGTGAATATAATGGTAGTAACAATAATAATATAGTATCTACAGAGACTTTTGGGTTAAGCACTTTCCATAAAAATTATAATAATAATAATAATAATAGACTTTAATCCTGAAATTGTGAAAAGGTGTTTGCCAACTGGTGTGGAGTTTATACTGTACTAAAAATAAGGTACAGTACTGTATTATATTTTAGCTTAAAACTGATTTAAAATGTTCTAAACCCAGTAATGCAAAATACTTAACAGTTATGTGTGTAAATAAAGCTATCAAGGAAGTGGAGGAACTCACAATTTACACTTGTCCTCACCTGCCCAGAGTCTGCCTTGCGGATCACACTTGCCGTCATTAAAGCGATTAGTTGGATAGTGATCATCAACAGTATGTAGAATGGCTTTTGGTTTCACTGTGTGCTGATCAGGGTCAGTGGTAGACCACTTGACTACAGCAAGAGACCGATCAAGACTTGTCAAAAATAAGTCTGGTTCTCCCTCTATAGGAATGATGAGAGATACGGTGCTTTCTGAGCTGCCACTATCTGCAATGCAATAAAAGTCAATACAATGCCTGTAACAATTCAGAACTAGCACACAAACTGGAATCAGAAATAACATTCTGGTTACTCTGGACCATTTCTAGTTATGCCAACATTTAGCACTTCCCCATGATTATAATAATAATAATAATAATAATAATAGTTATGCCAACTTTACCTACAAATTTAGCATTTCCCTACAAGTAAAATAATGTGTAAACTTTGACTTTCCTCTTAAGAACAAAAGGGATGTGGGAAAAACTGAGAAAAAATAAAGTACTATATATGAACAAGTAGAATCTGATGACCAAGAGAGTGCTCAAATCTAGGGAAGAAGGAAAGAGCAGTAGTGATCTTCCCAGGAAGGGTTAGAGAGAGGGTGTGTGACTGCTAGCACACTCGGCTCACACACTGAGGTCTGCAGATTGAGCCTCCAGTATGGCTGGAAAACATTAGGATGTGTTTCCATGAGACATCTGCTGTCTATGTTCACCCATTGGTAAAATGGTTACCTGGGTGTTAGTTGACCAGTGTGGGTTGCATCCTGGGACAAAACTGACCTAATTTGTCCGAAATGCTCTGCATAACAAGGGGGCTTTCTATACAGTAGTATGTCATTGATGTCAGCAAGGCCTGTATACCTTGTACATGTACTTATATAGAAATAAAGATATTATTACTATTATTATTATTATTTAATTGGTAAGGACCTGAACCTTCGGCAGGCATATGTGATCATGTTAGATTGAGGTGAATAGAAACAAATGGTGTTAGAGATTTGATGTGCTGTTGGAGTGTGAGCTAGGTAGTACTTATGAAGGGATCCAGGGAAAACCAGTTAGCTAGATGCTAATTAATAAACTTCAGGTTAATGATGAGCTTGAGGAAAGTGATCACAAATCACTCAGTTTTAATATATCATGCAATTCCCCTAATAATGGTAATCAAGTATCTGTCCCTGACTTCGCTTGGCTGATTTCATAGGACTGAAAAATTACTTGGGTGGGCTGAACTGGAATGACCTGACTATGGGTCTGGTAGGTGGTGATGACTGCCAATATGACGTTTTCCAGGGCATAGTTCTAGCTGCTCAGACAACTTATGTTCCAAATAGGGAACTCAGATCAAACAAAAATGATCCTAAATGGATGAACAAGGGAATAAGAAAAGCAAAAAGAGATTATGAGGTTAAAGCTGCAAGAGAATCGAAGACTAACCCAAAAGGATTCTTTCAGGTATGCAAAAGTTACTCGGGTCAGCTCACGGACAGTGATAAGGAAATGTGTAGAATTTTTAACACATACTTCTTCTCAGTGTTTACACAGGAAGATACTAGCGATATTCCAGAAATAATAAATTGCAGTATGTAGAACAGGATGATAAACTATGCACGATTAGGGTCACAAGTGACATGGTCCTTAGGCAAATAGATAAATTAAAACCCAACAAATCCCCAGGCCCTGATGAACCGTACGCAAGGGTTCTAAAGGAATGTAAAGAGGAGCTTAGCAAACCTTTGGCTAATCTTTTCAACATATCACTAAAGACTGGCATGGTGCCAGATAAGTGGAAAATGGCAAATGTGATACCTATTTTCAAAGCACGTGACATGTCCTTAGCTTCAAACTATTGACCAATAAGCCTAACCTCCATAGTGGGAAAATTTATGGAATCAATAATTGCCAAGGCAGTTCGTAGCCACCTTGAAAAGCATAAATTAATCAACGAATCTCAGCATGGGTTTTACAAAGGAGCGTTCCTGCTTTACGAATTTATTAACTTTTTTTTCACTAAGGTATTTGAGGAGGCAGATCATGGTAATGAATATGATATTGTGTATATGGACTTCAGTAAGACTTTTGACAGGGTCCCACATCAGAGACTATTGAGGAAAATTAAGGCACATGAAACAGGAGGAGAAATTTTTTCCTGGATAGAGGCATGGTTGACAAATAGGTAGCAGAGAGTTTGCATAAATGGGGAGAAATCAGAGTGGGGAAGCATCACGAGCAGTGTTCCACAGAGGTCAGTGTTGGGCCACCTGTTCACAATCTACATAAACGACATTGATGAGGGCATAAAGAGCGACATAAGCAAGTTTGCCGATGACACCAAAATAGGCCGTCGAATTCATTCTGACCAGGACATTAGAGCACTCCAGGAAGATTTGAATAGACTTATGCAGTAGTCGGAGAAGTGGCAGATGCAGTTTAATATAGACAAATGCAAAGCTCTAAATGTTGGACAGGAATATAACCATGCCACATATAAACTAAATAATGTAGATCTTAATATTACGGATTGCAAAAAAGATTTAGGAGTTCTGGTTAGCAGTAATCTGAAACCAAGACAACAGTGCATAAGTGTTCGCAATAAAGCTAACAGAAACCTTGGCTTCATATCAAGACGCATAAATAATAGGAGTCCTCAGGTTGTTCTTCAACTCTATATATCCTTGGTTAGGCCTCATTTAGATTATGCTGCACAGTTTTGGTCACCGTATTACAGAATGGATATAAATGATCTGGAAAACATACAAAGGAGGATGACAAAGTTGATCCCATATATCAGAAAACTTCCCTATGAGGATAGACTGAGGGCCCTGAATCTGCACTCTCTAGAAAGGCGGAGAATTAGGTGGGATGTGATTGAGTTGTATAAATGGAAGACATGAATAAATAAAGGGGATGTAAATGACGTGCTGAAAATATCTAGCCTAGACAGGACTCGTAGCAATGGTTTTAAGTTGGAAAAATTCAGATTCAGGAAGGATATAGGAAAGCACTGGTTTGGTAATTGAGTTGTGGATGAGTGGAACAAACTCCCGAGTACAGTTATAGAGGCTAAAACGTTGTGTAGTTTTAAAAATAGGTTGGATAAATACACGAATGGGTGTGGGTGGGTGTGAGTTGGACCTGATTAGCTTGTGCTACTAGGTCAGTTACCGTGTTCCTTCCTTAAGTGAATGTGACCTGACCTGACTAGGTTGAGGCATTGGCTTAAGCCGGTAGGAGACTTGGACCTGCCTCGCATGGGCCAGTAGGCCTGCTGCAGTGTTCCTTCTTTCTTATGTTCTTAAATCCTGGAGGTGGAAAGTAGAGTATCGATATGCTAAAGAAGGATTTTACATGTTGAAAGATCATTTGAACTGAAATTTGTACATTTCTGGCAAGATATTTATTGAATGGTGGTGAATGTTCTCAATTGTTTGGGCCATTCTTGCGTGGGTAGGAAATGGCCAACATCTAGATCCAAGCTTGCACGCGCGCGCGCACACACATGCACACATGCACACACACACACACACACACACACACACACACACACACACACACACACACACACACACACACACAAAAGAGCTCTGACTTGACCCCTGGACCCACACACTGGTGAGTCCACGAAGATGAACCTGCTACACACACTACCAACCCTCTCTGAAAACAACTTTCCAACTTAACTTAGCCAACCTCTACCTACCCCATCCTTAAATTTACCTACCCTCTACCCCCATCACACAATTGCACCTTCTTTACAGGTGATGCAACCCTGCTTGAAGTAAAAGGACACAAGTGCAACTTATGTGACATTTATTGTGGCAACGTTTTGCTCTCCAAGAGCTTTATCAAGCCATTACGTAATGGCTTGATAAAGCTCCTGGAGAGCGAAACGTTGCCACAATAAATGTCACATTAGTTTCACTTGTGTCCTTTTACTTTACATATTGTCGGTAATTCTACCAACTTTATTACAACCCTGCCTGAGCCGGTAGGGTGCCCCTCCACCTGTACGAGGGTTTCCCTCACGCCGCTAATAGTGACCTCGGGCGGTGCTGGGTCAGGGGTCTCAGCTGATATCTTAACTGTCTTTACTGAGATGCTGAGTTTCGGGGGCGTTGACCCCCAAAACAATCTCCAGGTATACAAGCTTAATGCTTGTTTTAATAATAATAATAATAATAATAATAATAATAATAATAATAATAATAATAATAATAATAATACAAAAACTATAGGCTCCTTACGAGTTTAGTGTTTTCCACGAATAAGATAAATACTTACATTTTCCTTTCCAATATGATTAGCTTTTTTTTTTTTTTTTGCAAATAATAATTTTAGTATACATTACCGATGTGAAGTACTTGGTGTCTTTTTGTCTGGAGGAAATATCTGTGTACGTTGCTCTTCGTTATATCGACGAAGAGGAGACACTGTTGGTCTTGTACCCAGTGTGGTCCTTCACCCAGGTGCACGCCCTCCACCACCTGCTTCACCTGAACTGCAGACATCTTGCACCTATTACTGAATCAGAGAGAGTGTGTAGGTGACTGATGTATGTAGTGGTTCCCTCAACCAGGTGCCACCCTCCACCACCTGCTTCACCTGTTAATCAAAGAAGGTGTAGTTAGTTTAATATATTATGCACCCCATACTCATTAGGTGGGCGGTAGTCAAAAGATTATAGAGGTACATAATGAGTCTAGGGTCTGGGCCGCAAAAGTTTTGATAGCTGAACAAGTTATAGTGGTATTAACTATTTACATGTTTATATCTGGTGACAATCGTAGGTGATGCATGTAGTGTGGTCCCTCACACCATTATTAATGGTGATTGCATATTGTGAAGGAGCAATGTGGAGGTAATTAGCATTTTTAGGTACTGTATAAATGCCATAAACGTGTACTACGTCAAAGTCATCTATTGCAGCCAGCACATTACGTTGCTACCTCTACATTTTAGCCATTATTGTGGTTTATACACTGAATGGTCACCTAATGGTATTTATCTTCAGACAACTATACTGAATTAACTATATAACGTTATCAGTATTAACTACAGTAGTTTGAAGTGGTAGTTCTAGTCAGCCCGAAATATTTGATTATCTGGGGCTTTTAAAAACTGTAATAACTCTGTTGAAAAATTATTGGACGTATTTGTTTATCCCAGATAATGGGTATAGGGTGCATAATAAAATAAACTGTTTATCGTGGGCAAGCGCTAAGCCCGTGGGGGAAAAGGGGTCACAAAGCGGCTGGTAAAGGGATGTAATCAGATTCTAATCCAAAATAAGGGATATCTTTCATGGATCAAGAGCCCTTTACCAGCATCAAGGCACATCCATGATGGGAGTGTGTTGAACCTTGGTCATGTTAACTAGATGCATGGCAGCACGGAAATGTATTTTTCTAAATCTAGTTTGATGTTGACCAGTTCTGGTGTGGTATTTAACAACCAGCTCTAAGTGTGATGTTGAGACCCAGTTCTAGTATGTTAATTGTGGAAAATTGCATTTATCTGAATGTAACTAATTATGTACATAACAGTAAATGATAACAAAGATAATTATTATTTATCAATGTTACATAGACAAGTAGGAATTTGGGACACCTAGGTCGCAAAAAAATGTCCCCCTTCGATACCTACCACTGTCATAACCACAAGTTGCTCTGGACCTATTAATTAAATGAAATATACATACACCAGGAATACTGGTAAATATATAAATTTGCGGACTGAATATTAAAAATAATAAATGGTTATATATATATACACAATTACATAACAGAAGGAAAATATATTTTAATATCACTCACCAATTTGACTGGAGATTAATGTGTATCATACTCAGAAAACCTCACTCTAACTAAATCTATGAAAATAATGCTGGCCAGAATTACACACAAATCTAGAGAGCTTATCTGAGGTTCCTGGAGCTGTCTTGTCCAGTCGTCTGATATCTCAAGTTATGCAGGAATGCACATCCACCAATTTCGCCTCCTATTTGAGAGGTGTCAACACAATTTTAACCTCTAGGGCACGAAAAATTCTTCCCATTACACCAACGTTTGTACAAAATTCAAAACCAAGATGGCGAGTCTCGTCTGCGCAGACGCAGGCTTTCCGTTTTCTATGACATAAATATTATTAAATACAGTATGGCCATCTATATACATATAAATACTGTATTTCTGGAAAATATATACAATATTTTCCACATTAACAGCCAGTTCTAGTGTTAACAACCAGTTCCAGCGATGCTGAGAAGTTCTAGTGTTAACAACTTGTTCTAAGTGTTAAGAATCAGTTATATTGTGGTGTTAACTATTTCTAGTGTGGCGTTGACCTCGCCTAAAGGGAGGTTTCTTGACGCTGGTGAGGGGCTCTTGATCTAGGGAATTGGATCTGTGCTCCGGTTCCCTTAATTGAACCTGAATACCTTCCATTCCCCCTCCCACATGCGCTGTATAATCCTACCGGTTTAGCGCTCCCCCATGATTATAATAATAATCTTGACGACCAACAGTAATCCCCCAATGATACTTTATTCTTAGTCTTCCTCTATTAGTAGGAGAACCTAAATAATCAACATCATAAGGTGCAACATACTCACTGCAGTAATGGAAGACTCGACGCCCAAGTAATTGGAAGTTGGTCTGAGGTTACTGTAGCAGTCATCCCCTCCCCAGATGCATCACCAGTTGGCACAAACCACAATTTCCCCACAAAACACATTATAAACAGCCATTTACTCGATACAACTGGGTCTATAATTCATATTATATCTCGTGGTTATTAGGAGATACACAGTAACACTTGGTAATAACAACCGATGAACAATAGATTATATATTTTATCTTTCAATATGTATTTGGGAGGGTAACTTTCTATCATGGGAGGGTACCAAGCATTGTCCTGTTATCGTGAGAAGAATCAGTAAATTAAGCATTGCCAGCATCAGACGTTCAGCAGATATTTTCCTAAATGCATGAGCGTTTATTTACCATTATTAACATAGTGCTAACCAATTTTTTCCAGATGAATTGTTGCAATGCATAGATAAACATTAGATAAGTACGAATTGGCACCTACTGGCACTGGTAGTACCGTTGTTGTTATGCAGAGAAACGATTCTCATATTCAACTTGGAGCACACATTACCAACTGAGTTTCCACCCTTTAAAGTGAACTATGTGCTATACTTCTTGCACTCAAATATGTCCATCTATCTTAAGTTGACACGAGTATGTCACTTGTGACATACTCGTGTCAGAAGCTGGATACGGGGAGGGTAAAACTGTGGACCTGCCGCCTGGTGGCTAAAGCTCCCGCTTCACACACGGAGGGCCCGGGTTCGATTCCCGGCGGGTGGAAACATTCGACACGTTTCCTTACACCTGTTGTCCTGTTCACCTAGCAGCAAATAGGTACCTGGGTGTTAGTCGACTGGTGTGGGTCGCATCCTGGGGGACAAGATTAAGGACCCCAATGGAAATAAGTTAGACAGTCCTCGATGACGCACTGACTTTCTTGGGTTATCCTGGGTGGCTAACCCTCCGGGGTTAAAAATCCGAACGAAATCTTATCTTAGAGTCTTCATGTGACCAGACCTACCTGGAGTTCATTACCTTTGTAAATTGTGAGTTCATTACCTTTGTAAATTGTGAGTTCATTACCTCTGTAACTTGCTCAGCTATCAAAACTTTGGAGTCCAGTCCCTGGACCAATTATGTACCTCTGTAATCTTTTGATTACCGCCCACAGGATGGGTATGGGGTGCATAATAAACATATTAAACTAAAAAAAAAACAGAGGTCTGAGCAAAGCTCCTGAGATAGTAATTATGGACAAGGTAGATTATAGGTGGGAAAATAAACATGTTATTAGAAGACGAGGTACTTACGTGCCCCTTAAAATTATGTATCAAGTTGTATTAAAATAGTGAGTACTTATGATTTTTCATCATTACGCACCTCAGTAATCTGTAAATACCTTTGTAACTTGTCATGATTGTGACCAAACCTATCTGGAGTTCATTACATTTGTAAATTGTGAGTTCATTACCTTTGTAAATTGTGAATTCATTACCTTTGTAATTGTGAGTTCATTACCTTTGTAACTTGCTCAGCTATCAAAACTTTGGAGTCCAGTCCCTGGACCAATTATGTACCTCTGTAATCTTTTGACTTCCGCCCACAGGATGGGTATGGGGTGCATAATAAACATATTAAACTAAACTTGTGAATATTCCCTCTCACGTTGACCTTTAGAACTGATGAACTGGCAAAGGAGGAGGAAGATTGTAATTTTGGACGTCAACTAGTAGTATGAGAACAATAATATGAAAAGAACTTCAACTGAACTTCCTTAACTTGAGACAGAGGAAAATTGACTCCAACCAGTCCATCTATCATTCCATCAAGCAAGAAGAGGCCCGTGTCTATGTCGCATCCAACAAACGTTGGGGCGGGGCAGATGGCAGACCCGAGGCCTAGCTTCTCCCTACGAGCCCCGTGAGGGCGGGGACTGTGGCTAGGCCTGGGGACACTTGGTCCCAAAGATGAGGGGGTACTTGTACCTCCTCCCATGGGAGACTTAGGTCTCGAGATACTCCCCAGATAGGGAGCCAAGGCCGGGTCACCACTACTTGGAAAAGACCCGGGCCGGGAGAATACCGGCGAATAAGAAAAAAAAACAAACAAAAAAAAACTAGACACCTGCGGAGTTCTACACACTTGCTCTCTACACACCTGTTTCACACAGGTGTAGCTCTTGACAACACGAAGCACCGTCACACACACACATCTTTTTTTTTTCCTCCTAAAAAATGAGTCTACGGGCCTTTGATTATTTGCTTTTCTCATTATCAAATTGACTGGAGAGCGCTAAATCCATAAGGGTCATACAGCGCCTAGGAAATGGGAGGTAATAAGATTTTCACTTAATAAATAGAAGAATACCCCCATTTTTGGGGGGATGAAGAACCTTGTAGTGACTCCAATACATTTCCTTCCCTCGACGGGAACAGTGTAAAATTTTGTTTTTTATAAATAATAATAATAATAATAATAATAATAATAATAATAATAATAATAATAAATTTTTAGAGTTGCAGAGGTAGGTTATAGTGTTTATTTCTTCCGTGGACAAGTCCGTGGTTCTGCTACAGTTATGGCTACTATTATCTCGCCTTTGAGGGCAATCATGTAGCAGTGTATCTACACGTAGATAAAGAGTTACAATACGTATTTATTTATTTCTTTTGAGATGTTTCATCTGTTTCGTTTGGCTACATTCTCGAGGTGGTTGGTTGGTGTGTTGGGTTTCAATCCTATCTGTTATACGAGGGTCATTAAGGTTGTATGTCACCAGTGAAGCATACTTAATACTGTATTACTTGAAGTAACTTCTCAGTGAATATACACCGAGGGACAAGGATGTCAGCCACAGCACCGTGTCTTCCTTTGCAGATGACACCCGAATCTGCATGACAGTGTCTTCCACTGCAGACACTGCAAGGCTCCAGGCGGACATCAACCAAATCTTTCAGTGGGCTGCAGAAAACAATATGAAGTTCAACGATGAGAAATTTCAATTACTCAGATATGGTAAACACGAGGAAATTAAATCTTCATCAGAGTACAAAACAAATTCCGGCCACAAAATAGAGCGAAAAACCAACGTCAAAGACCTGGGAGTGATCATGTCGGAGGATCTCACCTTCAAGGACCATAACATTGTATCAATCGCATCTGCAAGAAAAATGACAGGATGGATAATGAGAACCTTCAAAACTAGGGATGCCAAGTACATGATGACACTCTTCAGGTCACTTGTTCTATCTAGGCTGGAATATTGCTGCACACTAATAGCACCTTTCAAGGCAGGTGAAATTGCTGACTTAGAAAATGTACAGAGAACCTTCACGGCGCGCATAACGGAGATAAAACAGATCAATTACTGGGAGCGCTTGAAGTTCCTGAACCTGTATTCCCTGGAACGCAGGAGGGAGAGATACATGATTATATACACCTGGAAAATCCTAGAGGGACTAGTACCGAACTTGCACACGAAAATCACTCACAACGAAAGCAAAAGACTCGGCAGACGATGCAACATCCCCCCAGTGAAAAGCAGGGGTGTCACTAGCACGTTAAGAGACAATACAATAAGTGTCAGGGGCCCGAGACTGTTCAACTGCCTCCCAGCATACATAAGGGGGATTACCAATAGATCCCTGGCTGTCTTCAAGCAGGCACTGGACAAGCACCTGAAGTCGGTACCTGACCAGCCGGGCTGTGGCTCGTACGTTGGTTTGCGTGCAGCCAGCAGTAACAGCCTGGTTGATCAGGCTCTGATCCACCATGAGGCCTGGTCACAGACCGGGCTGAGGGGGCGTTGACCCCCGGAACTCTCTCCAGGTAAACTCCAGGGATACATACTTCTCGGTGTAAATATGCTGAGAAATACACACATCTCGATGTATGTATACTGAGAGGTATACACCTATCGGAGTATGCACCTCTCGATTAGCGACTGGATGTGGTATTGGGGAAACTAGTTGATGCTAACCTACAAATAAATTTCTGAATTACTATCCGTAATTTCTCCAAGCCACAAACTACTTAAACCATAAGATCCTTTGTTGGCTTAGCAAGATTCTACAGTTTATTAGAAATTTTTCGTTTCTTGCAGTTCGTTTGACAGATTTGCTCAAGAAAGCTGCTCCGTTGAATCGGACCTTCAGTCAAAAAGGGGCATTTCAGATACTCATATCACAACTCACATCAGCTCGTTCTGACATTCCCTAACTCTGAGAAAATTTTTACTTGACAACAGACGTTAGTACTATTGACACAGGCGTTGTCCTAGCGAAAAAGATCAATGGCAAATACAGTCCTGTTGGATATGCCAGTGGAATCTTGACTAATGCTGAACGTAATTACCAAGTTACTGATTACCTTGCTGTGTGTTAAATTTAAGTTTACAGGTCATGTTACTTGTAAACTGACACTCAGCACTGTTACTCTAGTGGGAGGTCACCCAGCTGCAGCGGAGCTGAGCTGTCAGTAATGCATCATTGGCATAGTATGAGCGCCCTTTGTGTTGGTGTTGGCAGTTATATCTTTGTATGCAATACTTAAGTATGATTCAAGTGTGACTCATGACCGATGGGTAACAGTGCCCGGGAGAACAGCACAGCTCATCTCAGTTTAAATAGTGAAGCCTTAGGGTGTGGGCGTACATCACTGTGGCTCTCACTGTATCCACATATTTCTATAATAAACGTTGGAACTAAAAGTGATTATTACTTACCGTCAGTCCTAGAGAAATCATCCACGCCCAGGTAGGGCATGACAAATGTACACTGAGGGATACACACGTTCCACTGTATATACACAGTGAGAAATGCCTCTGGGTGTTTATGCACTGAGACACACACACACACCTCTTGCTGTATATGCATAGAGATACACCCCTCTTGGTATAAATACATTAAGAGATACCTCTCGGTGTATATACACTGAGACACACCTCTCCTAGAGTTGAAGGGAACCCCATTAAGACCTACCAAGAGGACAAAGTTATTAACATATACTTTGCCAGTTAGTCTTATTCATATAGTGTTTATCCTTGTGAAATAAGACACATTTGCAGTATTAAGATATTTAAATAAGGAAACGTTTTGCTTTGAATGGCTTCTTTAGTACTAATACTGCAAGTGTCTTATTTTATATAAGCCGTTATTTTATAGAATATCTT